CACAAAACCGCCATAATCACCAGTAAGAGCCGTTACCTAGATCGCATAATCCTGGAGGCCGTTGAGATCGAGCTCCATCCAAACAACATGAACAAGGAAACAGGGTTCAATCTCAACAAGTCATGGAAGCCACTCATCTCTTGCCTCAAGAGAAATCCAACAAGCCACTCCAGTTCTTCGTCATGTCATTGACGTCAGTAGCCTGTCCCCTGTATCATGTCATTGACGTCAGTAGCCTGTCCCCAACCAACCAGTTCTTCTTGTCTACTGCACTTCCTAGTGCTATTGACCTCAAGTTCCTGCATTCACTGGCCGTTCCCCCCCCCCTACTTAGCACACACATCATTTGGTCTTTATCGCTCTCAACAACCTCGACAGACGTGAAGCATCTTTTCCCTCAAGAGAATCCAACTAGCCAAACCAGTTCTTCGTCATGTCATTGACGTCAATAGCCTGTCCTCAACCTACCGGTTCTTCTTGACTACCACACTTCCTAGTGCTATTGACCTCAAGTTTCCTGGATTCACTGGCCGTTCCCCCCCACCCTTAGTCAACACACACCATATATGGTCTTAATCGCTCCCCACTGCTCCCATTGGTCCGTTCTCCCTAACCACCCCCCTTGCCTACTTCGTATATAAGCAGCGCCTTTCACATCCTATCACCACAGCTACTGCTCTCCGCATTCCAAGCCATTCAACTGCTCTGAAGATGGAGGCGCTACATTCCTCCGAAACGTCGGCCAACACGAAGAATTCACGGTGCCTAAACCCAGAAGACGACTCTCTTCTATTAACTCCTATTCGCATAAATTCCAGCATAAAACATTCTTCTTAACTTACTGTATCAGGAGCAACTTGTGCCAAAGGAACGTCACCATGGCTTGGGCATGTAACAGACTTGCGATCATATGCTGCCAGAATACATTCCTCCACAATCCAGCTATAAGATACCAAAGGCTCTATATCTTCTGCTAAGTGACATGGCTCATCCATATTGTAACTTGGATGTCCTTCGACCGATGGCATGCGGCTATGTGGACAAAGACATCACAAAATTAATCGTATAATTTAAAGCTTATCTTCTTGCTCAAAAGCTGAACATTATCAAAATTAAATGTGACTGGCAGAAATGGGGAGCAACACTATCAATGTCTCAGAGTCTAATAACATCAAATTACAGGATGATATAATGAACAATGCATTGGAAAGGATGCAGAAGGATGTAATTGTGGCCTAATATGAGGTATTGTTCTGCGATTTGCCTGGAGGAATTGGGAGAAGCCATGAAGAACCTTAGTCAGGACAGCTGGTGTCCCAGCCAAGATCTGAACTGGTCACCTCCCAAATATAAGTCATAAATGTTGCTGCTTGAGCCAACCTGCTCGGTAAGAAGGAAATAGTCTTGATTATTCAACACTGTGGTCTTCTGGATTGTGATGCCACGTAATCTTGTAGGTGAACACAGATGTTCAGGAGGAACATGTAGTATCCAGAGTAAGGAACTGGTTGGGTAATAGGGACATGTTGCAAGGGAAGTGAGCACCCAGACCTACTGGAGGCCAGCAGGAAAATGGCATTCTACTAGGCCTGAACAACATCAGTGAACTTCTACCAGCTACATGATGCCACATATCAAAAGATTCAGGTTACTTTTAGATCACCGAATATACTCAGAGAAGCTCACCTAATAACCCCAGGAAGACTTCCTTTCTGAGCACAGTGCAGAAACAAAGAATGATAATTAAATAAGATCTAAAAATTTGTAATGATGGTATATTAATACAATTATTGTGTTTTTGGGCATCATCCATCATGGAACATTGTGATTTAATTAAAAAACAGGACAATGGATAACGTCCAAAAACATAATAACTGCAATGACAATTAACACTGTGACTTTCAGAGTCTTTAAACAGCTGCTGCAGGGACATCAGAATTCTCACTATTATACAGTACACATGTATTTGTTCAGAGTTTTTAAAACCACCCAGACTTTGACTGTTACTGCCATTTACATAAGATATTCTTAATTATATTGTCAGTTTGATTTCAAATAGAATAGGAGTTTGCCCCAGGTATTTGCCACTACAGCAATCTACACTCTATAGTAGCCACCCATGGGTTAAGAACATTCACTGATAATAGGCTATATTTAACCATTGCTTGTACATAACACATCACTGATGTGTTCATTCGTTGTAACTATTTCGTTCATTCATCAGTAATCTGTCAGACGACAGGTCCACAGTCTCTTCCAAAACAGTTCCTCCACTTAATGTGATCTAGAGCTTTCTCCTTCAAATGAGAATATCCTCTTCTGTCCCCAAGGTCATCCAGCATCTTCTTACATCTTCTTCCTTGTCTTCTGGTCACTTCTATCCGCCCCTCTATCTTTCGTTCAATAACTTCTTTTAGAAGGCAGTTACTGCGCAAGATATGACCAATCCAATTAGACTTCCGTTTTCTTATTTTGTGACTATTTATTTATCACAAAATATTTGTCATACATTGGTTGTCACATTCATTAGTTGGCAAAATGATGACTTTCAATTATAATGTTATTCATCTTCAGGTTATACATCTTGTATGTGCTATCACACAAATTACCATTCCTGTCATTTGCACTGTCAATTACCACAAATTCTGCAATAATTAAAAGTAAACCTCATCATTCTGCTGCATATAGGTGACAGTTAAATATAGCCTATTCAATCATATGCAACAGGATGCCAATCACTGATAAGGTTCTTGAGAGGCATTTTCCAGTCATGAGAATGTATACCAAAGAATGATTTCTCATTAGAATAAATTGGATGGTACAGATACCAAAATACTACTGCACCTGACCACATACCTAGAACTTGTAGAATCATGGCCTACACCACTGTCACCATCGCCATCTGACGTATAGCTCTCCTGAGATTTACGAACTTGATGTAGGCCCAACTGGTTCTCACTCTCCACTTGGTGGAAAGCCTGTCATATAACAGAACATTTTAATCTAAATTCATGGCAGTAAAAATTACACTTTCACTCCCTTTTACTTGTCAATTACCAGTGCTTTGTCCAGACTGCCATATCTGACCCATGGCAGATACTAACATTCTCTGAAAAGACAAAAAATATTTATCTTTCAGAAAGAATTCTGACCATGTAATTCTTCCCTTGTCACAAGTTGGTACATGCAGCTTCCTTTTGAAATTTTCTGGACATATGTAGACAATTTGCTACTCATTACTTTATTATGAAATATTAAAAAGTACTATGGATGGCAAACCAGCAACAGAGTTGTTGGGAGTCACAATATTAAGATTGTAGTCTTCTCAGTTATGGCAATAAGTTTCACAGGTGATTAACAAAGTTTTGGTGGAAACTGCTGCCTCCACCTTCTACGTAATGAAACGGTGGAAACTCTGAAACACTGGTAACCACTTATGAAATTACATGCTGTCATAACTCAGAAGACCACAATCTTAACATGTTAATCTTTTTAACAGTTTCATATTCCTACTATAAATGTATGTCTTCATCATGGAAGACAGACAGTGACACAGTACCAGAGAGCCAAATGTGGTGCATGACAAGAACTTCATACTCTTCACAGTTTCAATGACAAAATAACTTTACTATAAATTTTGTTAAAATCTGTGCAATATAAATTTATAGCAAGAAGCTTTTACCTCAGCAACATGTCTCGGTCCAAGAGCTCCAATAGGAATACTACTTTCACTCCAGTTGTCTGATCTTTGATGTTGGTGCTGAGCCAATTCAGTGTCCCCTTGAGAGGCTGCCACACATCGAGGACACAGGACAAGTCTTGTCACTAAGAAGCGGCCTTCAGATGTATGCACAAACCTTGTACCTGTAACAATGATTTGATTTCCCAACTCAGAGAACACATGGGACATAGCCCCCCCCCCAAAAAAAGTACAACAAAGACTGGGGGGGGGGGGAGAAATAACATTAGTTGAATATTACTTGATTACCTCTTTCCTTGATGGTTAAGTTACTGGAGTACAACTGATCACTCATATTAATCTAGTCCTCAGGTGTAGAATATACAGAGTTTTACCTCCATGCCCACTTAGGCATGGTACAAAGTTACCTTTTACTAGTGCCACAAAGTGTATGTACCTTTTAAGACACAACACAAAATGCAAGTCCGTTCTTATGTGCAACACTAATGTTCTATACAATTTACTAAAAGATATTCACTTTAAAAGTTTTTCAGTATATGTTTCCAACAATGTGGTCATCATCAGGTGTTAAAATTGATGAACAAGGACTCTGCTGTCTTGTTTCATTGCATATGTTGTTAATAATGTGTGTTCCAGGTGGTGGGTTGTATTCCCTCCTGTTGTATGTTGTGCTGCATGCCTGCATTTGAAAAGAAGACATGCAACATAACACAACAGGGGGGAATAAAACCCACAACCTCGAACACACATGTGCATTGAGGGGATTTATATATTAACAATATGTTAGCCCACATGATAATGTGTTTGACTTGTATTTGACAGGAGTATGTTTCAAAATTTACATGCTGCTGCTAAGAGTCTTGATGGAGATTACTGTGGTTCTCCTCAATCCTTCCAGAAAATTCCCAAATATTACCTTAAATCAGGCATGTCCAACGCATTGATCGTGGGATGATTTTTGGTCGATCTCATAGGCCTATAAGGAAATTATATGTGAAAAACATGTAAATTCACTTGTAATATAATATGATTATATTCAGATTTTGAAGGCAAAATACGTATTAAAGTAGTTTGTACTTTCAATGTACATTGCTTTTACAACAATCATCATGTGTCATGATATTTTTACCAATATTTTTGCTTGAAGTGAGGTACGGCAATAGGAGGGGGTGGTAGATCACTGGCAGTTTTGACACTAAAAAGTCGATCACAATCTGTTTGAAGTTGGACATGCCTGCCTTAAATGATGCCATACCTTCTCGACCCACATCCTTTCCAGTTCACATCTCCTACTCTTTCACTTCCTTCAAAGATAAATAATCTCTGCAGCTGACACAGAGTCAGTATACCAGATAAAACTGGTAACTAATTTGACTGTTAGTCTACTCTGCATTATATATTCTGCAGCACTCACCTAGAGTTGGATACCAGTCCTCCAGTAAAATATCAATATGATCCACAGCAAGGGCCAGCAACTGAGCTGTGCATTCAGGGCTTGGGTCCAACACAATAGCCTGATAGCCAATTGGCTCACTGCCTCCAAGTTGATCTGTGATAGGACGTTTTATAACTATAGTATCCACTGGGAAGTAAATCTCTAGGATAGAAGAGTTCACTAGATCAACATCTCCCCACACATCTTCCTGCTTCAATCTGACTCTGCAAACACAAGAAGCAGTATAAGAATGATAAGGTTAGATTTTACAAACGCTGAACAAAATGATTATATCACTGACTGATAAATAAGTTGTTAAACCTGTAAATTACTAGGTGGTTCAAATATGACCGGGACTGATTTTTTTGTAAACAAGCTGCACTGCACAGCAGCTGTGCGACCTTGAGAGAGTGAAGCCACAACCTCCAACCTCCCTCCTGTTAGGGTTAGAACCTGTTCAGTCCTGTCTGGAAGTTGCTAGAGTGATAAGTGACCAGAAGGTACCGCGGAGCATGGAACAACGCATTGTGATCAAATTCCTCGTTGGAGAAAACGTCCTGTCCGCTGAAATTCACCACAGACTCCAACAACAGTATGGGGAAGTATGTCTCTCACGGACCCGTGTGTTTGAGTGGTGTAAGTGCTTCAGAGAGGGCAGAGAGTGCGTGGAGAATGAACCGCATGATCATCGGCCGCGAACATCCGTCACCAAGCCAAACATTGATCGTGCAGACGCACTTATTCGTGAGAATAGGCATATCACTATCAAGGAACTTGGAGCAATGCTGTCCATCAGTGTTGGTAGTGTAGAAGACATCATGAAATATCACCTGCACTATCGCAAGGTGAATGCACGGTGGGTACCACGCATTTTGACGGACGTGAACAAAATGGTGCGCATGCAAGTTGCCAGTCGTCTCCTACAGCAGTTTGAAGATGAAGGCGATGCATTTTTGAAGTCTATAGTGACCACCGATGAAACGCGGGTGCACTACTTCATTCCCAAGTTCCAGCAATCATCACGCGAGTGGCGGAATACCAGTTCTCCCAAACTCAAGAGAGCGCGGAGGAGCCGTTCGGCAGGAAAAGTGATGGCAACGTTCTTCTGGGACTGGCAGGGGGTTATCCATGTAGACTTTCTGACACATGCCAGAAGTCAATGCAGCTTATTACTCAGACCTCCTGGCAACAGATGTGAAGGAAAAGATCCGATCCAAGCGGAAGAGAGGTGAGAAGTGGGTAGCCTTCCTTCAAGACAATGCACGCCCCCATATGGCCAAAAGAACAATGGAAACCCTCCGGAAATTGAAATGGAACCTTCTGACACATCCGCCGTACAGTCCCAATTTGGCACCAAGTGATTTCTACCTGTTCGGAAGGCTCAAATCAGACTTGCAAGGCATGTAGTTTGTGGAAAACGACGCTGTCATCCAGAATGTTTGGGAGCAGATACGCCGCCAACCACAAAACTTTTTTGAAAAGGGCATCAGGATGCTTCCAGAACGTTAGAAAAAATGTGTTGACTCCGGAGGGGAGTATGTTGAAGACTGACATGTGCAAGTAAGTGTTTGGCAATTTTGGTTTAAAAAAAAACAGCCCTGGTCATATTTGAACCACCTTGTATAACACTGATAAATGAACTGAAATTATTAACTCCATTTCAGTGCAGTATAACCAGACATGTATTTTGAAGACACCAAAAAGGAGTTAAATCCTACTATTTTAACAATACTCAAATTTAGTGTACTCATAATAAAATCAAATTAAAACTACACTTTCACAAAAAATTACAAAAAGTTGCACAAACTATATAAAAAAGAACACCTAACACAAAAATAACAAATAAAAATAAAGTGCTTATAAATCTAGGTATGAAATAATCCAAGAAATGTTGCGTGTTTACAAAGCTGTTGGCTAGCAATGGCTGTTTTTCTCGCTCCCTTATTCTAGCTGTCAGGCCTTATGTCACAATATCAGTGCAGGTCCTGTTCTCAATGATTTTGAAACTATGNAATGGGGGGGGGGGGGGGAGCAGCTGACCCTTATGTTGGATTTTTGAAAACAGAACTGCTGACCCTCTTAGAAGACATTACTCTATGAACATGACTGCATGATGAAGCAACCCCATTTTTCAATAGGAACGTCATGCATTATCACAACAGACAGTTCACTGACCATGGGTCATCATCATTGGTGGCATGCTAAACTGGACACCACATTCACTGGATCTCAGTCCCTTACATTACAATGTATGGGTCACATGATAAACACACTGTATGACTGCACAGTAGATCCAAGAAAGGTACTACTACTGTGAATTTCTGATGCTGCAAAGACACATTACTAATGCTCCTCTTCTTCATATGACTACATGTTCTCCATTGAAATGAACCAGACTGTGCATCAAAGCTGACAATGGACATCTTATACAATTACTTTAAGCTAATGTTGTATTTTAGCATCCTGTTGCACTGATTTTCATCCATGATATGTATACAGTCACCGCAGCTAAGAAGGGAACACACATCACAAGACACGATTTACACAGAATATAAGAAAAACGACCCCCATAGTGGAAGAACCACACACAAGTTTTAATTATGACACATAAGATGAATAATCTTAACAAGTTTTAGTGTGTGTAAATTCATTACAGTTGACAGATACGCAATTTTTAAATACTTTTAAAATAATTTTATAAAGGCAAGCAATGAAACAGATTAGCGTAATTAGGGCACCTGATGATGGCAATATGTTGCCAAAACATGTCGTGAAGTAACAGGTGAAACTGAGTGCACTACAAGATGGCAACTGTATACATATCATGGATACTTTAAGCTATATAATCATTACATCTTTTCCCATATAAAAATGTCCCCTCCCCCTAATAACAAATGCCTTCAAGATGAGATACATTTCAAATACCCATAGCTTCAAAACCTCTGAGAATATGATCCACATTGATACACCAATATTCACTCAGAAGAATCTCTGTAATCACCTCCTAAAATGACATAAAGTCACTGAACACTAGCAATGTGGATGAACACATTGCCTCCATCTTCAAGGCAGAAGAGTAATCTTACATTTACTGTGAAGACAAAAGCAGTTGGTTCCTCCAAAATGTTGGAGAAGATGTACCAGACTACATGGATTCATATCCCAGGGGAGAATAATCTTCATAGTTAAGGTAGTGGACTTGAAGTTCTCACAGCTGTGGCTATGAAGTATTCTATCTTCTGGGATACAATTCCAGTGTTTCAGAGGAACACTGGTTGACTTTCACTTGACTGCACAACATTATATCCCAGAAGCCAGAACTCTTCAGTCACTGCATTTAGAGCCTCAAATCTCACGGACATGCATACACTTAAACTGATATTGCAGCCTAATATTTCTGATAAATAAGGAAATTGAAACACCAAAATTATAGCCAATCACTTGAAGATGGGAGTAGATCCAACTCCCAAATTGCTGTATGCCAAACACACCTCAGCCTTGGAAAATATTCAGCATAACTGTGGGGTAAGTTCTGTACTCCTATGCTGATACTATGGAGAAAAATACAATTTAATCAAAAAGGAGGGGAAAAAATTAAGTTCTCTTCCTTTAAGGCACAATAGATCACTGTGGTCATGGTGCAAGGGCCAAGAAGGCCCACCCCTTATACATTCATACATTCACTGAAGTTAATAGATTTATCATAATATTGAGAATGTTCTTGCGCATACGTGATTTCACATGTATTGTTTACCTGAGTTGTCTGTAATCAACAGGCGAATTTTTCATATTTGGCAGTACCTCCTTCATACGAAATATAGTTGTATCTGCATACCGCATTTCCATCCCAGTCTGCCACAGCACCCACTCTGCACGCACATCCAGTAGTTGTGCCAGCTTTGTGTCCTGCATTACCTACAAAATGTGCACATATTAACATAATTAAATATTAAGGAAAAACTGTAAAATGCACTGAACAATCCAACAGAACTGTGGTGGAATGAACAGACTACGGTCTAAAACATTAACAGAAAATGCTGAAATTAAGGTTCTCATGATGCTGACTGTGAAGAGCTTGTATTCTGTGTTGTAATGCTTTGAAGACATCTCTCTGAACCACAGAGCATTATAACCCAAAAGCTGTATTCTTCTTAAGAGAATAATTAGACTGCAACATGTACTGTCCAATAAAGAAATATAAAGAAAGAGCAGGTTGTACATTGTAATATAAATAAACTATAACTAATTCAATGGAGCCGAGTCCTTCTTGAGAAGCTAACAGTTGCTAAGCTGGTAAAACAATTTCCCACCTTTTAAGAGACCCAAAAGTTCATTACAGTTATAACAGGAACAGGCCACCGGTCAGTATCCTACACATGAATTCAGTTCACACTCTCCCATCCTTTTCAAGATTCATTTAAATATCATCATCCCCTTATGTCAAGATCTGCCAAATGGTCTCTTACCTTAAGGTTCTCTGACAAGAATGTTGTATGCACTTCCCATCTTTCCTATGCATGCTACATACTCTTCTAATATAAGTCTCACTGATTTGATCATCCTAACAACACTTGATGAACAGTACATGTTATAAAGCTCTTTATTACGTAATTTTCTCCAGCTTCCTGCTATCACTTCTCTCTTACATTCACATAGTCAGATTATCCTGTTTCCAGCTCTGGAAACTGAGGAAAGAGGTGTTGTTAAGGTCACAGGAACACAGATACAGATTTTAGGGTATTATACCATTCACTGCGAAAAATAAATTAGTATTAATCACATGTGATATTGAGTTAATTAATGTAAAAATAAATCTATATTTATAAATGTAGTCGCTCATAATTTATTTGTTTAAAAGTTCTGTATTATTAAAATTTGCATAGACTCTTTAAAATTGGAAATGCGGTGGGTAAGTTACTTTTCTTACACTAAATTAGATGAAATCAGATCCCTTTGTAACATTTGTGGGACATCACCACATATCTAGCATACCTCACAAAACCAGAGATGCCATAAATAGACAATACTCTCCTCACCCTTTTCAAACAGATCCTGTACATTAAACGAAAATTCCTAGAGTTACTTGCATCTCACCTCCTTAGGCATGATGAAGAAGGCACGAACAATGTCAACAATGGCATCATCTGCAAGAATCCTTGTGATAAGTCGTGACCAGAACCCACTGGGGAAGTATGACATAAGCAATAGGCGCCTAATGGAGCATTCTGGGTCTGACCGGTGGGTAATCTCACTTTGGAATGCTGCTGTTGCATCTACACCTTCTTCAGTGGGAATACTTGGGCCTGTTTATAACAAAATAATATTTTTAAATTCATTTATTCTCAGAGCTATTAGCTAATTCATACTGTGGCATACAGATCTGTTGCCAAGCAGTGACTCTGTAAACTGTGGCCATTGCTTGCTAATGGTCTGCAAACATATTCCTGTGAAAACACCCAGTCTATCGCTAGGCAATCGCCCATGACAACAACAGGATTGCTGGAGGCTGCTTTTTCTGTTCGGTCTCCCCTTAGGCTACATAACAAGGATCCCAGGCCAGCTGAGCAGTTCAGCTGTCAGTTCACTTGAAAGCATGTGAAGAGAAGACTAGGAGGTTGGTGTGAAATGGCCGCCAGCCTGGGACCCAGTTAGCTGAGTTGTCAGTTGACAAGAGCTCTGCATAGGTGGCTGTGACAGGAGGACCTGAGGGTGGAAAGCTGAAAAATCTCCACTGTGTTAAATCTGTTGCCAGGAAACGGCTAGTGGAGACTGTAACAGACTGTGGACACTGGTCTGTGTATCAGTGATCTGTAAAGTGTAGATATGAGTGATGTATACAACTGATCAATAAATCCAATATCAAATCCATATCCTGTCTATAGTGACCCACCCCTAAATCATGACAATATAAACCAGTCACAGTTCAGCATAAAAACTACAACTCTTTAAAAAAAAAGAGTACATTTATATTTTATAATTTAGACATCTTTGGATACTTACAGCCTTTTTAAACATGTAAGTCATTAATGTTATCCTATGTTAAATTACAAATTAAAATTGCATATGTATTATTTTTGATACAGCCATTTCGTTTGCTGACCTTCGTATTGTATAACTTGAGAAACAACAATACAGTCAAGTATAAAGTTAAATTTGATGCCATTACAGCACTAACTATGAAGAATACTATCTTCTGGTACAAACCCATGTAATCCAGCAGAATATTACTGATAATGCTTCATGTTTTTTGTTTTTCGCTTACTTAGCCTACCCTTCCATCCTGAAGATCAATGCAGTTCTTTTTTCAAACATGAAAAAAAAATTCTACCACAGTATACAGCACGACACCCCAACAGACAGTACTCTTCACACCTCAGATATTGATGTAGTGTGTGGAATGTATTACAAGTGTAAGTCTTATTATCTAGCTAGAAATGTAAAATAAACTATAAATATTCACAAAACTTGCAAGAAATACAATTTTGCACATCCTTTCATAATTTAGTATTTTTTAATACAGAGAATTTGTGTAAACATTCATTCATTTCCTTTATTTTCCATATATCTATACAGGCAAAAAACCTAAGATGTGGAAATAGTCCCTTTGATAATAGATGTATACATGTAATAAATTACATAAGTCACACAACTAAAATAATAACAATAATAATAATACACACACTAGTCAAGTAACACAGGCAATAGAAAAAAAAACAAAAAACAAGAAGCTTATTACAATTGTAATTACTAAACATAATTTAAAAAGTGCACTACTATAAAAACTTAGAATTAATACAATTTCACTCAGATTACCCAAATAATTAAATGCTTTCTTTATTTCATTTTCCCATAAACATTTCTTTCAGATTATATTCAGAACATTTTATTAAATTACTGTTTACAAACACCTACTTAAATGATGTATCTGTAGAGCTGGGAAATAAATACAGAATGTATTTGTTAAATCGCTCTTCTGTATTAGGTAAATGTCCAGATTATTAAGCGTCACAACTAATAGAAGCGTACAGGTTAATCCCTTGTGTATCTGTTTAACAGACACATGACATTTTATTGTATTGTACTGTATTTATTAGCATTTATCAATCCATTCAGGTACACGACCACTGGATATAGAAATTGTCAGCAGATTACAGTGACATTTACATAAGATTGTCTTAACATAAAAACAAATAACAATTAAAAAATATATAAGAAATAAATACATGCAACTAAAATACAAAGCTATAATTACTGGGATACCACAAAGTCAAATTTATTATTCCTATCAAGATACTCTTCAACTGGATGAAAAGAGTTTTCTACAAGAAACTTTCTCATTTTATGTTTAAATTTATTAATATCATGTGCAACTTACTTAATGTTGGGGGGTAGAGAGTTAAATAACGTAATACTGGAATAATATACCCCTTTTTGAACTCTAGTTAGACTTACTAAAGGATCATGAAAGTCCAATTTTTGGCAGGCATTTATTTTGTGCAAGTCAGAATTTATTGTGAAAAAATCCTTATGCTTTACAACAAACATAAGAGTTGAAAAGATATATTGGCATTTGAACCCTATGAAATTTATGACTACTCAGCAAAGACAAATGAGTTAAGACTTATAGGGTTGTGTTGGGCCATGCACTGTGGTGACAAGTGCCTTATTTTCATTCATATTTATTTAATGACGATGTCAGAAGCTCAGACATTATAACATCAAATGGCAGAATGCTTAGTGAATAACGAATTGAAAAGGTTGTGGAAAGAAGTGGTCATGGCCTAATTTGAGGTATATCCCAGTACTTGTCTGATGGGACTGTGCTAAACATATAAATGCTCACCTGGGAACCCCCACATATGTGTACAAGCAGGAACAGTACCCACTTGGCTGCAATGTTAGGTCTGTTATTACTGAACAGAGATAGCACACCTAATATCAGTTCTTACCACTGATCTTCATTGGTGAAGTAGTGTTGGCAAGTGGTCTCTGCAGCTGGAACTGATCAGGGGTCTGAGTATAAAATGATGAATTGCCAACCAGTGTTGAGGCTCCAGTTGAGACGCTCAGCTTCTTGCTGCGTACCGCCCAGCCCCGAGATCGCACTGGGATCTTAACATAAAATCAAGCAAGAACAGATGCATAGAATCAACAAATATGGAGAAATCATTCTTAAAATCCATTGTAGAATTTAAATCTCTGTTCTATCAGTCCTTGAAATAAACGAATTTGTGTGCTCAATTTTACAAGCAATAAACACAGCATAAGTTCTGAGGTTTTCACAGCAGTGATTCCTTAGACTTTGATCTTCCAGACTGTGACAACACAGTCTTACATTTGGATAACAGTGTTCCAGAACAGGGAAATCAATTGCCAGATTCAATCAATAATTCTTTCTGAACCAATATACAAGAGACAATTTCTATCTATTCAGATTACAATTTTTTACATCTTTCAGCCCCACTGTCCCAGAGTGAAGGTAATGGTAAAAGTACAGATGTTGCTTTGCATATTTAATTAAGTAGCACGCCATGAAGGTGTATGGGGCAGCGGAAGGTATAGCTCCGCCATTCTTGATCTTGGCACTAGATGGAGGTGAAAGATCAGTACACTGCTTTAGTGCACTTTCATGAAAATAAAAGAAATTTACCTCAAAATGTTCAAAATATATGAAATAGCTATATAGTCACACATAACTGATTGTAAGCTATACAAAAGTACAGATCATAATATACAGTGTGTCTGGATGAAAGGTATCCAAAATAAAATCATTATATCTCAGAAAGAATTTAATATACACATTAATGGGTTACACCATTACAAAGGGAAAGTGTCAAAATTTTTTCTGCATATATAACTTTCTCAATAAATTTAAATGTGGGCTCCCTTGGTGGCATGACAAATATCCAACTTTGAAGCGTGTTTTGTGTTACCATAGCCAAAACATCCCTTATGCGGACTTTCAGGTGTTGAAGGTCGTTGATCTTAACCTGGTAGACAATGTTCTTCACATAAACCAGATACGTGTATGACAATTAGTTTCTGAGATATAATTTTTTTTTTGATACCTTTCATCTGGACAACCTGTACTTCCATATCAAAATTGTGACTCTAGCTTTTCTACCAACCTGCGCATTTGGTGCCTCAGATTTGATCCATGGTCAATGAATATTTGCAATGCTGATGTGATAAGGTTATAAACGATATGCTACCATGTCACACAAAGAGCATCATCAGTAGTGTCATCTTGACTAAAGAACAGGGCTTTAAATTGAAAATAATTACAAGAAAGAATTATAACTCCTCCATTTTCTATATATATAGTACAGTTTTCAGATCAGAAAAAGACGAAACATTTTAACTTTAACTCTAAGTCAATTCCAAAGTACTGTGACGATGATATATTGCACTTTGGATAACCGAGTTTCTAGCCTCTGCCTATCATCCAGTGTTCTGAAGTAACACAACGGTTTAGAAACTGGATCAGTTTCCATCTTCAGCAGTTTGTCCAGTAGCCAGTAAGAGCACTTTCTAACAGAAGCAACTAAGAAGCTGATTACCCACGTTTTCAGCTAGGACACAGCTACAATTTCGAGAATACTGTGTCTTTTTTTTCTTCTGATTACCAAACAGATAAAGTCCAGAAAATCAGTAATCTAAAGTATAATTCTGAACACTAAAAATTTAGTACAGTACTCAAAGAAAGACCAGATTACAAACTCAGCAAATGGTGATGAATATTTTCATTACGTTAACTTACAATAACGGAGAAGAATTAGATTATAAGAAGAGGCCATATCTGAAATGAAAACATTCAACAACAACTTGGAGAATATATTCTGATTCATAAAACTGGTAACAATCAACAGAAATGGAAGGAGCATGTGTGATGCATGCCAACAGATCACCAACAGAATATATATAGACACTGAGAACAAAGAGATCTGGGAAGACCTAGAAAAAGATGGACAGGCCAATAGCATTCTCTGCTTTAGAACAGGGAACACACTACTTACACCTTCTGAGGAATAGGAGGATGAGGATGAGGAGGAGGGGAGGGAAGGGGGCAAAGAAAACTGGAGATGTATAGACATCAAAATTTCCAAACTTCAACAACTTCTGGCTTTAAACTTGTTTTTATTAATTAAGCCTGAAAAAGGATGTTATCATGATGAAATGCAAATCACATCCGAATAAGTCACTTAAATTAGGGAACAATCTGAATTTCAACCACTGAATATGTTCCCTTGTCCACCAAATTAATTTATTTATCACGTATTACTGTCTCTACAGAAATTCCTACAGGTTAAAAATAATGTTTTTAAAAATTAAACATTTAAATTTAAAATTTAACGATGAGATTATTGTCTTTGTTCACTGAAATTAAATATTAAATGAGACAAAATCTTAAAATGAGGAGCTTTAAGAGGGGNAAAACGAACAATTTCAATTTTGAAATGTTCACACATCCCCAAAAAGATGTTTACCAAAACCATTCAAAAAAGTATTAGCAGATCAACAAACAACTAACACAAAGTTCATTTTCTTATTTCTTTGTAAGAGTTTTATCTCTTTATCTTCTTTCTGAGGAAGTTCACAAAATGAACAGAATAAATGATCTTTACCAGTTTCTGTGCACATTACATCACTGATGTGCCACATATTGTTCACTTTATTTAAATTAAGTTAAAAAGATAGAAATGTCAAAATACATTACAGTTAATAAGCTTTCAACAAAAGCCAGAAAATAGAAAGAGTCACACCATAAATTTGTGCTGCAGGTGTTTGGTGCAAATTTATTTTCTGAGTGATCATGTGAACATTTATAACAGGAAACTTCTGACATGCTAAATTGTCCAAAATTGTCACAGCACCCACTCTTACTACTGAACTGTTGGAACTGGGAACTTTCAAAACCCATTCTCACAAATGCTTACTAGTGTAATGATTAATGCAATCTTGGATAACCAGTAATCAGTGAACCTGATCTCAGTACTGGTATCATTATGACAACTTGTAACAACACAGACAATGCTGTTCGTTTCAGCTGTGTGGATAAAGCTACTGTTTTCAGGATTTTCTTGCATATTAATTGCCTGCCACTTTGTGGATCTTTCTAAAAAGTAAGTAAGTAAGTAAGTAATTAAGTGACTGAGTGACTAGCTGACTAAACTAACTTTATATCTTATTAACTAACTAACTAACTAACCAACCAACTAACCAACCAAATCCATGGAACACGATCCTCCTTATAAAGCTAACTGCTGCTAAGCTAGTCAAATTCCGCATCTTTAAAGGAACCTGAAAGTGCATTACCATGATCATAAAAGCATACCTATCAGAAAGTTCCCAGACTAGGTCAAAAAATAAATGCTGGCTCAACTTACTCAATTTTGGCTGCCATCTCCTTCAAAATAGCCTTCTTGAGAACATATACAGAGATCCCATTGTTTCTTCCATGCTTCAAAAGCACTGGGGAAGCCATTTTCCTTAATGCTGTTGAGTACTGCTTGTGATTATTTCCCTTTGGATGTCAGACACTGTTTCAAAATGTCATCCCTTCAATTTCATTTTCAAATTGGGAAACAAAGTGAAATCACAGGGGCTAAGTCAAGTGAGTAGGGAGGATGGAGAATGATAACCATGCTGTTAGTCACAAACTCTGTGTGATGCAGACACGTTGCTTGATTTTGACGTCTATCACAGACAAAACAAAACATGAAGTCGAAAAGCACTCGTGTAAAAACAATGCATGTTCACAGCGCGATGTCACATGGCAGACTGATGCAATAGGCTTGTGGAAGTGTGACCTTGGCCTCCCCTCTCATCTTCTTCCACTGAGGCAGTTACAACAATAACAGTCTGGGAACTTTCCAACACACCTCATAAACTGAAGGAACTAAATCCACATCTAAGACTATTTTTATCATGCCATAGCTCAGGTGGTTAGTTGCCAGCTTCCCACTGTGGCAGCCCAGGTTCAATCCCATGACAAGGAATGGGATTTGTGGTGGGCAAACTGGCACAGGGGAAGGTTTTCTCCAAATACTTTGACCTACCCCACTAATTCTCATTCCACTCACTGCTCTGTATTCATTAATCATGTTACCATCAACACTACAGTCTTGTTAACTAACTTAAAAAAATTCAATATTTCTTTCAGATCAATTTTAAAATTGTGTGAGATCTGAGGTTAGTACTCTTCAGTTTTAACATTATCCTCTCACCTATGCCTGTGTCTTCCAAGTGTTCTCCTCTGTTCATGTATGATGGGGTACCCAAAAGAAACTGAAATAATTTTTTTGTGGGCAGAGCTTTTGTAGTACCGCGTTTTGCCGCTATGAGCGCATAGAGCTAACATTCCTGAGTCGATAAGCCGACTACCGTTGCTTCAGAAGGTAAGGACTAGTTTCGGCAGAGTTTATAGTGACAACTGTTTTGTGTGATCGTCGTTTTTGCAATGGCTGATTTTCGTGAACAGCGTGCGGCGGTGAAATTCTGCTTTTTGCTCGGGAAAAGTGGAACAGAAACTCTTGAAATGTTAAAAACGGCGTACAAGGACGATGCTATGGGGAAAACTCAAGTGTTTGAGTGGTTTTCCCGTTTCAAAAATGGTGAAATGTCAATTGATGACAAACCTCGTTCTGGTCGTCCTTCCACGGCCCGAACACATGAAAATGTTGAAAAAATTCGTGAAATCATCAAGGAAGATCGACGACGGACCATTGAAGAAATTGTGGAGCTGTCGGGAGTGACTTGGAGCTCAGCGGCCAGATTTGTGGCAGTCGGGTGACTGGTTTTTCCATCATGACAATGCCCCTGCTCACACAGCCCTGTCTGTACGACAATTCTTGACCAAAAATGGTATGACCCCTGTTCCTCACCCTCCATACTCACCCGACCTTGCCCCGTGCGACTTTTTTTTGTTTCCTCAAATGAAAAGAGACATGAAAGGAAAGCGTTTTGCTGATGTTGCTGAGGTGAAGGAAAAAACGACGGAGGCGCTGTCAAGCATCTCAAAAGATGAATTTAGACAATGTTTTGAAAAATGGAATAAAAGACTAGACAAGTGTATTAGTGTAAGTGGAGAGTACTTTGAAGGGGATTGAAGGTTTGTGCTTAAAATTTGAATAAATAAGTTAAAAAAAAATAAGTTCGGTTTCTTTTGGGTACCCCCTCGTATATCAATTCNAAGGTAAGCGTTTTGCTGATGTTGCTGAGGTGAAGGAAAAAACGACGGAGGCGCTGTCAAGCATCTCAAAAGATGAATTTAGACAATGTTTTGAAAAATGGAATAAAAGACTAGACAAGTGTATTAGTGTAAGTGGAGAGTACTTTGAAGGGGATTGAAGGTTTGTGCTTAAAATTTGAATAAATAAGTTAAAAAAAAATAAGTTCGGTTTCTTTTGGGTACTCCCTCGTATATCAAATAAAATCTTGCACGAATTTCTCATTTCCCCTCTGCATGCAACATGTCATGTTCATACAGTTCTCCTTAATTCAGTCACCTTCAACAACAGCAGATGTCACTCTTAAGCTCGAATATTCTCTTCAGCACTTTTTCCCAAAGGCTCTTAATCAACATTTTCCCCTCATAGTTTCACAATGATATAAAACTACAGGTAAAATTACAGTTTTGCTTATTTCTAACCTTCATGATTTTGAAAATACTTTGGAATATAAATGTTTCTAAACGGGATAGTAGCAAGCATTCTGGAATTTAATCTACTCTTTGATGTAATCGGAACTGCATCTCTTTATCATTACCATTGTTACTAAAGTAGTAGGATAATGAAATAAGAAACCTAGTTCCAACAGTTTGAGTGCTTGCATGCAGCTACAAGAGACAGTAAGAAATGGTGTGCAGCACCTTTACCCTCACTAGCTGTGTGTGGGCTGCCCGCATTGATTCTTCTGATGGAAGCAATGATGGTATGAGTAGAGTCCGGCTGTCCCACGTCAGAGCTACTTCGAACTTGTTAAGAAGATTCACAATGTAACATCGTGTATCCACAGGTCCTATGTTAGAAGACTTAAACACGTGCTTCAGGTCATCCAGCTTCATCACACCTAATATAATCAAAACAGAAATTAAAATACCGGACAGAGTCTTGACTGGTTACATCTGAAGGTTTTCACAGTGGAGAAGACATGGGCAATGGCCTTCTTGGTGATGGCACCATGTGAGCAGGATGAAAATGGAGGTAAAAAGCTCCTCCAAAGCATCATAAATCATTTATCGGATTACATGGTGTCGTAAATCTGAAGATTAATCCATACTTGTTTATGCCTGCCTGCCTATCTGATCGCTGAACTAATACCATGCTGAAGGGACTTAACTTTAAAAGCTAATAGTTACTTTAATAGCTTTTACAGAACCTTAAAGTTCAGTAACACATTCACAAAAGCCAACCATGTAGTCAGGATGAGGACAGAGGCAGCGTGATCATCCAAAATGGTGTTAACTACCTACCACACTACAAACTGTCATATTCCAGAAGACTACAATTCATGCTTCTTTACATCACCTATCTACCAACCTAACTAAACGATTCCATACTACAGGATTTGAAAGTTGAGAGTTAGGTAACTGGACAAGAATTTCTTGACTTTATGGAATATGAAATTTCATCAACATTCACAAAAACCAGCTGCAGCTTCACACCCTGTTTCTCCAAGATCCACTTCAACACCATCTTCCTAAGACTTCTAACTGATAAATTGCCTTCTGATTTTCTAACCAACACTTTGGAAGTACAGCACTTCCCATTTTTCTCATATAACTATATATATTTTACAAAGGAAATGAAAATGGAAAATTTTCCATCTCCATCCTGTATTCACCTGTGCGAGCAAAGGGGTTGATCTCTCTGATGGTGACTACATGAGCGAGCATGTCACACAGCCACTGTGGATCCAAAAAGTATAGATCCTTCAGGGTTGCATCATCATAGTGCAGTAACACTCCTGAAAATACCAACCCATGACATTCAGTGTGAAATGTACAATAAATGGATTTGGTTTCCTTCAAGAAAACCAAAGAGCAAAGAGGCTGGGGTCTCCACTTTCTGCAGAAATAGAGATATTTTAACCTCTCAGCACCATCTGAAACATTTAATATGGCACGCCCATGCATCACGCATTAGCTGACATACTGAGAACATCACTAATGCCACTACTTTGAGATTGATTTTTAGTATACTGTATTGTGTCTCATATACAATCATTCGCTCACTCACTCACTCACTCGTGGAGATGAGCCCTTCTTGAGAAGATGCCAACCATGCAGCTACTCAAATACTTCCCATCATTTTATGGAACCCAAAGGTTCATTACTGTGTTCACAAGAGCCCTGCACTGGACTCAATACTGAGCCAGATCAATCCACTCCATACCATCCCGTCCTATCTCTCCAAGATCTATTTTAATATTGTCCACCCACCTGTCTTGGTCTTCTTAGTGGTCGCTGTCCTTCTGGCTTCCCCACCGATATCATACATCCTCTCCCCCCATTCATGCTACATGCCCTGCCCATTTCATCCTCCTTGACTTGAACATTCTAATTATACTTGGTGGAGTACAAGCTATGAAGCTCCTCATTATGCAGCTTCCTTCTACCTCCTATTACTTCATCTCTCTTCAGTCCAAATATTCTTCTCAGCACAGTTCTCGAACACCCACAGTCTATGTTCCTGTCTTAATGTCAAAGACNATTGATAATATTTTTGTGGATTTTAGTAGAATGGGAAACTACACCATAAATGCTCTTATAAATGGCCTATCTGATCACGATGGTCAAATTCTGTATATGAACAACATTAACTTACAAACTTGTAGTAGCCCTCTGCAATTTGTAAGAATCTTCAGTTCATCTTCCATGAAGGAATTTGCAATTCAATTAAGTTATGAAACTTGGAATGACGTCTTTACTGTTAATGACGTAGATACAATTTTTAATTCCTTTCTAAATACTTAATTACATATTTTTTATTCCAATTTCCCTAAAAAAACTAATTAAGACTGATTCTAAATATAATCCCTAGATGTCAAAAGGTATCAAGGTATCATGTCAGCATAAAAGAGACTTATATATAACCATGAGGAATAATAATGATCCTCATTTAAAAGCCTATTATAAAAATTATTGCAAAATCTTGTCTAGTGTTATTAGAACAGCTAAAAAATGGTATTATAATGGTTTGATTTCTAATGCTAATAACAAAGCGAAAGCCACTTGGAAGGTTATAAAATCAGTATCTGGTAGGAATCATAATGTGGACATACAGTTTCTAAATATAGATGGGAAACTTACGGACGATCACATGATGATTGCTGAGTCTTTAAACAAATATTTTCTAACTATAGCTGATAATATTAAAAGGGTAACGAATAGACATGTTACTGGGACTGATTCAGCTAATCATACAAAATATATGAATCAAGCCTTTATTAGACCATTCCCTAAAATTCACTTAAATCAGACTATGTATAAGGAAATTGAAAGTGTAATTGGGTCCTTTAAACCCAAATCCTCTAATGGATATGATGAGATCTCGGTTAAAATTTTAAAATGCAGTGCACCATTTATTAGTTCTCCACTAGCCTATATTTGTAACAGAGCCTTTGTAACTGGTGTTTTTCCCACCAGATTAAAATATTCAGTAATAAAGCCATTATTCAAAAATGGAGATAAAACCAATATGTCTAATTACAGACCGATATCATTAATGACATCTTTCTCCAAAGTTTTTGAAAAGATTATTTATATAAGAATGCACCGACATGTACTTAATAATAATATACTAGCTAAAGATCAGTATGGTTTTAGGAGTAAATCATCGACTGAAATAGCCACGTATGAACTAGTTAATGAAGTATTAAATGCTTTGAACAATGGTATGTTTGTTGGTGGTATCTTTTGTGATCTCAAAAAGGCCTTTGATTGTGTTAATCACGATATATTACTATCGAAATTGGAATTTTACAGCGTGGCTGATAAGGCTGGTGCTTTGATTAAGTCGTACCTTGCTGATAGGCATCAGAGAGTTGTTGTGAATAACGGTCTGAGGTACTCAGAATGGGGGGAAATTAAAAACGGAGTCCCCCAAGGTTCAATTCTGGGTCCTTTGTTGTTTTTGTTGTATATAAATGACTTGCCCTGTATCATATCGAACAAGTCCAAACCCGTTATTTTTGCTGATGATACTAGCATAGTCATTACTAACCCTAGGTCTGCTGATTATGAATTCAAGGCTTCTTTAATATTTAAAAACATAAATGATTGGTTTCAAGATAATTTATTGTCATTAAATTTTGAGAAAACACATTTTATCGAATTTCTGACTAAGAACCGCCAGCCGATGGATATTCATATTGAGGATGATGATGATCGGATTGTTAACACTACAAATACTAAGTTTCTGGGGCTTATTATTGATAACACATTGTCTTGGAATGGACATGTGGATTGGTTAATGTCTAGATTGGGCTCCGCATGTTACGCGATTAGAGCCCTAAAATCTTACATGTCTCAGGGTACATTAAGAATGATTTACCTTTCTTACTTCCATTCAATTATGACCTATGGTTTGGTTTTTTGGGGTAATTCCCCTTATAGTATTCATATCTTTAGGTTGCAAAAAAGGGCGATTAGAATTATAATGAACTCTGGGAACAGAGATTCATGTAGGGAATTATTCAGGGAACTTGAAATTTTACCCCTTCAATCTCAGTATATATTTTCTCTTGCAATGTTTGTGGTTAATAATAAAGATCAATTTAAGTTAAATTCTGAGTTATATAATAGGAATACAAGATATAATAATAAATTCCATTATCCTACATGTAAGTTGACTGTATTTCAGAAAGGAGTGTATTCCCATGGTATTAAGGTTTTTAATTGGCTTCCTCCTAATATAAGGAACCTGGCTCAAGATGTTAAACATTTTAAAATTGTTTTAAGAAGATTTTTGTTGATGAACTCGTTTTATTCTTTGGAAGAATACTTTGATTGTAAATTTGACTCCAATAATCAACTGTGATTATGGTATTGAATGTCTTATATTGTTATTTATATTATTATTTCTATGTAGTGTTATTTGTATTATCAATGACTAATTCCTTATCCTACATGTAGTGGATTTATGGAATGTAAATAAATGATGATGATGATGACAAACTTTGACACCCATACAAAACCACATGCAAAATTGTAGTTTTGTATATTCTAATTCTTATGTATTTAGACAGCAGACGAGACGACAAAAGGATCTGGATCGAATGGTAGCAAGCACTTCCCAAATTCAATCACCTCTTAATTTCTTCCTGAATCAGGTTTTCACTTGTTACATTCATTCCACAATATCTGAAATGTGCCACATTTTCAAAACGTTTGTTAGCCATCTTGATGTCACGATTTTGCCCTGCATTCTGGTGATGACACAGCAACATATACTTAGTTTCCTTTGTGTTTACTTCTAGACCAACCTCCTTACTAGTATCAGTTAAAGTCTGTGTGTTTTTCTCTATGGTATCTATATTATCACCCAATAGATTCATATCATCACCAGTCTGGTATACAGTGAAGGATGGAATTCTAGACTTCATATTCACTTATTCATATTACCAAACATGGTATCACAAGTAAATTAAATATCCCTCTGATCTTTTGTTGATGCTTTCTGCCTCATTCCCAATGCAATGCTTGGAAATGAGACATAACAATTTGTCTCTAGTACCCAACTGATTGGTGCTTCTGTCTCATTTTGATCTCTGTAGCTGAATGGAGCCAAAGCAACAAATGCCAGAAATGTAATCAATTCTTCTCACATTGTGTATAATAGGTGCATACAACTGAGTAGCTGACTTGTGATAAAGAGGAATGCCACAAAAAATCTCAGTCAGAACAACCAAAGTCCAGCAAGGGTCAAACCTGGTATGACCCACTATGAATCCAGAGGATTACTACTATACCATCCTTCTGGTGACACATTTGCTAGGCCTGCCATGATCTAGTCTCACTGATACTTAAAAAGAGACTTACGTTCCAACACATGTAAAGAAACGACACTAGGTAAAGGTGAAATGTAAAGCAGTGCTTTCACTTGATTTATTAACCACCACACCATGAAGATATATCAGGGAGTGGAGGTATAGTTCCACTTGACACTAGATGGGGATGTGTGGTCAGCTTCACACCCCTATCAGTTTTCCCCCAGGGGAAAGAGCCTTCAGTACCCATTGACTAGGAAGCTGACTGGACCCCAGAACCAGTATGGATGCTGTAGAGATGATAAATGTCTCTTACCCCTACAAGGAATCAGACCTTCACCATCCAGCCTTGAGCTAACCTGGCTCGTAAGAGATACCATTACCACGTAAAATACTTTATCATCAACATTTCCTGATTCATATCTTGCATATGTTACTCAGGTTCTAGGGAGCACTCTGGCACTTTATGTGCAGACTGCAGCAACCAATCTGCCAGTAATACAGTTAAGGCATAGTGTCACAAGCAGTTATTTTTCTGCTGTTCTCAATATAATTACTATATCCATGATTTATTTCAACCGTCTTCCAGTGCATACACTCATCTATCTCCTCCTCTCTCTCGCACTACATGTTTCGGCACAAAAATGCCATCTTCAGCACCTGAAGATGGCACTTTTGTGCCGAAACATGTAGTGCGAGAGAGAGGAGATAGATGAGTGTATGCACTGGAAGACGGTTGAAATAAATCATGGACTTAAATCAGTGCAACAGGACGCTAAAATATAACATTATAATTACTATAACTAAAAGAAAAGTGACACGCACCATTCTCATGGAGAAACAATGTGGCTTGATGCAGTTCTGCAGCATCACGAAAGCTGCGTTGGTAGCGATATTGCATTTCTGTAGTCACCACAGCTTTGTATTGCTCAGCATTAAGGACAGGATCCACCCCTGTGGTCCGGCGGTCAGCAGCTAGATGGCTGATAACGTCTTCAAGTGCCAAGTAGCTAGCTGGTACTCTCTGTTCCAACAGCAATTCCTTACTGCCTGCAATAACCAGGAGCCAATAACACACAGAATGTACATGGAAGTCCAAGATAATGAAAGTCATTCAAAGGCATTTGTTCTATAAAATATTTTGTTTGTATTTCATGTATATCTCACATGCGCTTTATAATCTTCAAAGAATACTAATACTGGTTATTTTCTGTATGACCAATCTCATAATTTACAACTTTATACTGTAGGGTGCAGTACCACTGCTATGCAATGATCGTGAGAAGGAACATGTGTTAGTTGGTAGTAGCTGGTAAAGATGTCAACAATATCTGGGCTATTGCTAGGGAACTGCCTATGACAAAAATATAAAAGCTGTTGGAGGCAGTGTTTTCTGTTGGGTCCAATGTGAGGCTATGTAGCAAGGAACCCAGAGCAGCTGAGTAGTACAGATGCAGGATATTCTCCGGACAGTAACAGCGTGAGCATGCAAAACTGAAGAATCTCCACTGTTAGAAGCTGTTGCTAGGGAACGGCTCTTGGAGAGAGAGCAGACTGGGAAAAAACTTAGCGTGTAGTGATTTGTAAAGTGTGAATACCAGCGACATGTTGTAATTACTTATAGTTCTGAGTGGTGTGTACAAGTGGTAACTAAATTCAATTCACCAATCTAAACCCGGTCTATAGTCACACTCCAAAATATGTGACAATATACTGACTGGTTTTATTTACATACCATTTCAGCTGTTTCCAGGAACCTGTTTCATGTGACAGAATCACAATATTGATGATTTAAAGTGCCTGTTTAGAAAATCAGTTGTCAGGGTATATCTGAAGATTTGTTTAGTTATACAATTGGTTTCATGACAGCTATTTCATCAACTGAAGGTTTTACATTACTACAAGTTACTTGTACAGATTTTGTGTTTCCTATTCTGAGGTCATGTAACAAATACATGAATATGAACCAACATGAATACAGAGTAAGTTTTGAGGTTTTCACGGCAATGACTATGAAGAAAGTCGTCTTCTGGGTTTAGGCGCCGTGTATTCTTCGTTTTGGCTGACATTCCTCCGAAACGTCAGCCAAAACGAAGAATACACAGCGCCTAAACCCAGAAGACGACTTTCTTCATGAATACAGAGGTTTAATAAATGAATCTAATTCACAGAAAACCAACACAAAAGGCCTTCATTAATTCAAACAAACAAAAAAAAAAGTTTTCTTAGAAAAAACTGAGCACTCAATTGAGAGTAATAACCTTATGTAATCAACATTTTACAAAGGAGAACACGCTACCTGGTGGCCGAAGACTGAAGACTGTGTCATAAATAAGATTACACAGCAGCTTGATGTTGTGCCGTGTCTTGCAGCTCACCTCGATAGTGTCTAGTACTCGGGGAAGACCACACTTCTCTGCATCCACAATGTTAATGAATCTGCAGCAAGACATCATGTAATAAAACATCTCACCACAATCAGTATTCAAGTACCGTCCACTACAATACAAACTTGGGGGGGGGGGAAAGGTTGGAAAGGTGTACTCCAGTAGAGTATACATTTGCCCAAATGTATTAAATGCTATTTTGAATACTTCATTGACCTCAATGTCCCTTTACTGCAGATCAAATACAATGATTACTGAATTTCTGAATTTTGTGCATCGTCTGATATCCTGAATAGAATACGACATTTTGAAAACTGGATCAGTTTCTCTAATCTGTTAGAATAGATCAAATACTGTTTCAAAGATAATCCAACCTGCAGTCAGAAATTATGAAGTTAATACATGCAATGATATGCATGAGCCTACCTGTCCCTGATTAGCTGCTGAAGATCCTCGGAGATGGATGCAGGGTAATACTCCCTCATCATATCATAATGAGTACCCACAATCAGAACAGGCGAGTTTGGAGCTCGTGCCTGAAACATTACATTTCTTTCCCCAAATCTGAAGGTCACAATTTATCAGTAAGTGCATTAAATTCAGGAGTTACATAAAATGACAGAAATTAGTATACTTTCTGCAGTATTAGAAATCAACCTCTTGTACATAAATCAGAAGATTTAAAACATAGAGAATGATGAATGTCAGTTCAAGCATGTGTGTACATGTGTGTATGTGCATGCATGCACGTGCATGAGCATGTGTGAGGAAGTGTACAAGGATAAAATATTACACAGATATCCAAATCCCTTTTCGCAGACAAATAGATACACAGCCAACTCTCTCATATACAGTGCATATACACTGCACAGTATTTCACTTGGAAACATGATTATTTTTTAATGCTAGCGGGATGGGACTAAGTCCCTTGCACTGCGACCAGTTCTGCCCTATTGTACCAGCCCCAGATGATAGGTGAGGGTGATTGTGGAGCAATTGGTGGAATGAAGATTGGCAGGGGAAACCGAAGTACTTCGAGAAAACCTGCCACAGGGCCACTTTGTCCACCACAAATCCCACTTGACCAGACCCAGGATCAAACCCAGCCCGCCGCAGTGGGAAACCAGCAACTCACCGCTTGAGCTATGGCGCGGCCCTTGGAAATATGATACTTGTAGGTATCATACATATTGCATGTTATTGAAAATTCTTCCTTCTGCACTATATACAAGTCCTCTGTCAGTACAGGCTTTGCAAAGCAGATTGTGCCTATCTCACTTGCTCTTCTATTGTTGTGTCTGGATTCGTTGCAGCAGAGATATGTTTACTGCACCACTGCATAGCAACTGCTGCAGTGTGACTACAGAAAACACTGTTTCTCTGTTACTGTACCATTGTTACATTTGTGTCTGCTCCTGTAGGAATGTGTTTACTGTGTTGCAGCCCAGAAACGGCATTGGTTTATCCACCCATCTCGTGGTCAGTGCATAGCAAGAGCTCTACACATTACAGTACTTTATATGCAGTCTTGTAAATTCTACTGGGGAGTAGCTATGGCTTATACTGATTCCATAATATATTCTTTATAGAAAAAACATGTTTTAGCTAAAATTAGTTTCCCAATATTGAATCAATGTATCAATATGGTTTTAAATACTGAATCAATATTTTAACATATCAAAAGCATACTAACATATGGAGCTGAAATATGGTCAATAAAATGTGAACAGAGACATAAATTATTAGATACAGAAACAGATTATCTAAGGCATTCAGCAAGGGTATCATAAATAGATAGAATTAGAAATGAAGCAAAATGATCAACAAACCTGGCAAAGCTTCCCAAAAGAAAAGTGCGAAGTTCTTCAAGATGCAACAAAGCAAGAACTTGAGTGCTCTCTATTGGGAAGCAAGAAGCAAAATGGGTTAAACGATCCCAAATGTAGCCATTGGAAACCAAACAACCAACCAACAATCAGAACAAAAATGGGAGTGAAGTAAGATGTATTGAAAGAAATAAAATACAGAAATTAAGATGATATGGCCATGTCATGCAAATGGAGGAATGCAGAATTGCTACACAGATTGCAGAGTGGGACCCACAAGGGAAAAGAAGGCATGGCAGACCAGTCAACACATGGAAGGATGGGATTAGGAACAGCATATAAAGAAGAAACCTCAGGGATGAAGAATGTTTTAATCAAGAGCTCTGGAGGGAAAAAAATTACATCTTTGGGTTGAGGAAAACTGTGTGTTCACACAAAAATTCCTTTAATAAAATAATAATTAATACACATTTCAAAACAATTTTATGGATGTGGAAAGTTAAAGAGGTTTATTAAACTATAATATTACATCTATTGATCTAAAAGTATCACAGAAATAAATCTAACTCATATGCAACAGCCATATCACAAATACCCACCTGAATATTCACAAGCCAATGTAGAATCTCATTGATACCCCGCTGTCCATCAGGAATCCTCCAGACGACAAGATAGAGGCTTCTCTTTGACAGGAAGTATTGATGTGTGGCATAATATTCCCGCTGACCTCCAAAATCCCAAGTCCTGTCAGAAAATCATTACTTAATGTGTATTTTGAATTCATGTCTATGCAAGGCAATACCTCAATCTAATAAATTTCTAAATGATAATTAAATCCTGGGTTTGGGCCAGATAATAATACAAGCTAACTCTGCATAAAGAAAACACTTAACATGAATTAATTAAATGATGCTAGGGCTTCTCTGAGAAGTTGACAGCTGATAAGATATACCCCACTCTTCATTCTCATGGAACACAAAAAGTATGCCACTGGATCCTGTTCTGAGCCAGTTCAACCCAGTCAGTACCTTCACACTCTATTTCTTTAAGATTCATATTGATGCTACACACTTATCTATGCTTCAGTCCCCAAAGTGGATTTTTATTTCAAGTTTACCAACTAAAATTTTGCATGCACTTCCAATATCCTTGATGCATGTTACATCCACTGATATTATCCTACTCAATTTAATCATCCTAATAATTCTAGGTAAGGATCCCAAATTTTTATGTTTCTCAACATGTAATTCCTTCCATCTTCCTGTTACTTTTGGTAAAATAACAGTTTAGCATATTTTAATCTCTAAATTTTAGAGTGAAGATGAGAAAATGAAAATTTCTTAAACTGAGTTCCTGAATTTAATCTGCCTTTAATATCATAAATACCACATCATTTCCAAGTATCTGAACTGTGCCACAATTTCAAATAATTTGTTAGATATTCTTATTATTGTGATAAATCCTTGAAAACCTGAAAAAACATGAAATCACATTATTTCATGGTATGTATGTTTAAGAGAATTTATGGCTTCTCTAACAGCTCATTTTTGTTCTGTGGTGTAACATCACAAGAAATACAGTATGTACCAAACATAACCCATTTTTCATTACATATTATGATCTAAATGCAATGTAATTATACAAATTAGTACATAACAAAAGAGTGGTTGTACAATGTAGTATAATTCATATATAATAATGTATTAATAAACACATTTCTTACTAGCAATGCAACTAACAAAATTCTGATTTTTAATACTTAAAATTGAGATGTCTCTTGCCCTGCCTCGGAGAAATAAAACAGACATGATAACAACAGTTCTAAAGAGAACACACATGCCTAAGAAAGAAACTTTCAACTAGAAATCCCAAAAGAAGAGTTCACTTCATAAAACCCATATTTGGACAATACCTGAAGACAACTGGCCCATAAGATGATTGGCCACGTATCTTCTTCTCAAACACCCAATCTCCAATATCAACTCCCACAGTAGACATATTTGTCCCCCGAGAAGTTTTCACATTGATGTTCTTATTGCCCATACGCTTGGCCCAATGCTGCAAGATAACATTTAAACCAGTTAATTCCTCATGTCCACTTAACCTGATACTTTGGTACATCATTTACTGAAAAGCAGACATAACTTACACTACTCTTTCCACTTCCTTATCATCCACATACACTGTAAATGGTCACACAATGTATAGCAAAATTTGACTTCTCTGAGGAACAATGAATTTGAACCCTAAACTGATGACAACCTTAAACTGAAGAATTTAAACTGTGAATATATACAATGAACTCAAAATAAACAAAATCCCTATAGTGAAGACTAGTGAAGACAACACTACATGCTGCTAGAGGGAACAACACACAAACAAGGGGCATATTACAGACTGAAGATGTAGCAAACCAATGGGCTAACAAACATAAAAACAGGCTGCTGAAATAAAACTTCTGGAATAAATCACATAGCTCTAAACAAGTTGACAACAACCCTTATGAGTGGACTGCAGTGCATGGTTTTAGCACACGTCAGAGCAGTGTAGCAGTCTCGATACACTGAGACATCTGAAGATGGCCATTTATGGCCGAAATATGTTGTGTTAAGTGTTAAATGGTGAAACTGGAGGATTAAAAAAAGGTACAATTGTTACATTTTTGACAAACTGCGATGTACATAGTCCCTATATTCAGAAATTCAGAAATTCCTCTGTATGTGGTTTTGTTTAAAAACTTGTTCAGATAATTACAAAAGTATTCTTCTCAGTCATGTTTCTTTAAAGTTTATCAACACTGTGACTATAATTCAAGCAAAAGTGAGTTGTACTCATCATGAAGGTGTACAGAGAAGTGGAGGTAAAACTCGATGAACCCACCTCAGCATTATATATGAGGCAACAGCTCCTATCAGATGGGATGATGGATGGACCCCAGACCAGGTCTAAACACAGTGCACAGAAACATTCTTCCCCTGATGAGGATCAAACACTCATTAACCAGGTCTTACTGAGCTATCCCTGATTCACATTATACATTATGTTAAATAAGATTATGTATCTCAGTACAAATAATTCCACTATACTCAATATATGAGTATTATTTTTAACTCTTTGCAATTTAAATTCACTGCATGCTAACAATATCTCACCAGTCCATTTAAATGTCCTTTCATACATAATATTTTAACGGAGACAGCAAAGGACATTTTATTTTACAACATTCTATTGAATTGTGTGGGGCAAAACAGCTAATCCTTGCTCACCTCCACTGGTTTCTTCTTGTAGGAACCAAATCCTTCCTGCCGTAATTGTTCCAGTAGTGAAGTCTTCCCAATTCCTTGCACTCCAACAATCATCAGTTTCATGCGTGCATATGGCCGTGCATCCTCTAATACAGACTTCAGGTACCCAATCACATCCATTGTCTTGTATTTCTTTGAGTCAATCATTGATTTCAGAGGTTCCTGTAGACTACAGCCTCTGGTGTTCAGATTCCACAGACGAGACAAGAGGCCCATCTGGGGAGGCAACTCACAGATATCTGTTACAGGAATAACAGCTTTAATTTAGTAAGATACTCATAACTTCCATATGATGTCCAAGGACACATGCAAATCATAATTTTAAGATACCATGTAGCTTATTTTCTTAAATAATGAAACAGAATCCATATAATGTTTCTGACATGTTCTTCAGGATAATATATATACACCTTAATCACTTGCTTTCAATAAAACACTCCTGAAGATGACCTAGGTGCTTGAGTTATGACAGGCTGGAAACACTGTCTAATATACTGTGGCATGCAGGGTGGCGCACAAAACAAAAATGATGGGTTCTAGTTCGGATGATTGGATTTATTAGCACCCTGGTTACAAGTTCTTTCTTAATTACAATTAATGCAGCACTATCACTGTTTTTGCACTTTATAATTCACTGTTAAATACACACTAGTCCTCTCTTGGTAATGCAATTAAAAGACAGGAACTAGTGCTTCAAATCACTCCAAATATTATATGTAAATAAAGTCTTCTAATCATACTTTAAGTCATAAGAACAATGTTTACATTTAACAAAGTAAGAGACAATGACATGAAAGGTTCTAGCAGTACTTCACCTATGTTTCCACTGATGTTGAGAACAGAGAGGTTGTTAAGCTCATGAATGTTGTGAGGTATCTCTCGCAATTGGTTGTTGCTGATATCCAGCATACTGAGGTTAGGAAACATGAGGCGACTCTTGCTTTGACCTGTCGGAGTGTTCAGAACATCCTGCAAAGTTCGTCAATATATGCATATAATTATAATAAAAAAATCTGAATCCAAACACATCATGAAGAACAAACAGTATTAGAACAAAGTACAGGTAAAGGAAATTACACCCCATGCTTAATTAAGCATTATGCCACAAAGACATATGGAGGAGCAAAGCTATAGCTTCACCATTCTTGACCTCAGCACCAGATGCCCCTGCCACTTTACTCCAGGGAAACAGCCCCTGGTATCCATTGTACAGCAGGCTGGGTGGGCCCTAGAGCCTATCCAGCCATTATGGAGAAGGAAATCAAACCCCAACTTCTCAGCTGTCAAGCCTGAAGCCTAGATGTTATACCAGTTGAGCTTCCGAAGAACAAAATACACATAATAATAAAAGAATGAACATACATTGAAGGTTTTATATGTAAATGAAGACACTTGAGTGTGAAAACGTGAAATGCACACATATATATTACAATATAAATTACAATATATTAACTTTAAGGCTGTGGTCTTCTGGGTTGACAACATGTAGTCTTGTAGGAGGATAACGGTATTTCCAAGGAATATGCAGCCTCTGTCTTCAAGGGCTCTCAAAAGGGTTGCCTCTTCTCACTTCATTTTCCTCCCATGACAACAAAAGAAAACTATGGCCCTGAGAACGACTACTGTACTGACTGCTGACCCCTCTCTTGGGTCAGACTGGCCACCTTCCTTGCAGCCCACCTAAATAACTGAAGTGATTTCTCATCCTATGCATTGCAACCCTGAAGATGGAAGCATATGTTCCTGTGAAATGTCAGTATCCATCTACAACTGGAAATATTTTCTGGTCTTAATACATCCATGGTTGGAAGGCAGTTTCCTGCTTTGTAGTTTCAGCAATAGCAAATGATGGAAATTTCAGGAAATAAACTTTTACACCACATCAGATGGCTACACAGAAAACTAACACGCCAGACATTATAAGAAACAAGGAATTATCTCAACAGTAAGAACAGAAACAAAGCAATATGAAATTTTATGAAGGATGAAAGTTGTCACATTTTTCAGTATCATGGCAGCCATAGGTTTCTCAAAGCAACGGAGAATGTTTCGTAAATTTTCAGACATTGAAACACTTACTAAACACGGTGAAGGGTATAGAGTGAAGATGTGAACAATATCTGCAACAATATGATTTTAAAAAATTACACACTGCAGTGTGTATTTCTGCAAAGTACCAAGCTGGTACAGACAAGTAGGCACTAAGCTATGCAGGTGTCTGCATTAATTAGTGACACTGTTACTACTACTAATGGCTCTAGAGGCCTGTTTGGGCCTTTCCCGCTTCCTTCAGTTACCTAATCTTATACAGTTAGACTCTTTGCACAGTGGATCAGCCCATCGCAAGGCTGCTACCTACACAGGACAACACAAACACAGAATAAATACATACAAACATCCATGCTTCAAGTTGGGTTGAAACCCATGAGCCCAGTGTTTCAGTGAGCAGAGGCATTTCATCCCTCAGAACACATGACCACTCTGATTGGAAAATCAGTTAGACAAAGTACCCAGTTTTAGCTGTAATTCCAAAGATATTACCAGCCAATAAAATATATCTACCTCTAGTGACATACTGGAATTCTGAAGCTCCACATAAAATGTTCCTTTCGTGACATTCATAGATGCAAGATAATCATATTTCACATTTCACAAAAGAAGCAGTGTGAGAAATACTGCTTTCCTTGGTCTAGAGAATAATGTATATGATTGAAACCCAGAAGCTGAAACAAGAAAGTTCAGAATGCAACTCACCCAGTCAGCTTCCTCTTCTTCTGAGACCGAGCTAGCTCCATCATCATCAGTTGACAACTGAATACGTGCGAGGTTATTGTCAGCCAAGATAAGAGTACGGAGGTTGTCCAAACGCAGATGGCGCCGATGTGAACATACCACATTTAGGATTGCTTTGCGTAATGAACGGCGACCTAAAAGTCATATATGAAATCACAAAATGAAAAATCCTAACCAATAAAATACTGTCTTACATAAGTTTATATAACTGATATTATAAAATGAAATTCTACTGAAAAATTTTAAAGATATAAATGTACATAAACAAAGATTAAGATGATATGAAATTAAATGACAATTATTACCATTCTTTCTGGATTGCAGAACACACACTGCTCCCCTGCAAAAGGTTCAACTAGTGTACACTTTTAATATTTGGCAAATTTTTCAGTTTTTCCTTTAACAGTACAAAGATGCTTCTCGGATACTTATATTCTGCATTAAACAAATAAAAACTTTAGATTCTATAAAATTAAAAACATTATTATTTTGAATACACCATTTTACTATATCATGAAATAAAAACAAACACAATCAAATGCTGAGATGGGAGATGAAAGCACAGGAGGAAGTCTGTCACTCAACTTACAGTCACTACATGTAATACAAGGTTGTGACATAGGTTTCACCATACTTCAGGCATCTCCAGTGGATGGGCAAACATAAACACAGACAGATGAATTGCATTATGTCCTCTGATACTATTAAAATAAGGGAATATATTAGCATCAGGACAGTCATGCTGTTAACACTTTTTATATTTAAATATTTAAATCACCCTGGGGACCGGCATTTTTAAACATATTACCCTAACTTGTGCACTGTTCATTTTAAAAATTAATATAAAATCTCCTAATTAATTTTTTTGAACTAAAATTTTTGGAGAACACTTACCAATGCTCCTAGAAGTGCTTGAGGGTGTGATATTTCTGGAAACTTTCCCCTTTGTGAAGTGGCATTACACAGAACTTGCAAATGTAGACATACTCCTTTTTTTGTGAACTGTGCAAACACGGCATTGCCTAGAAGTATTCTTCCCCTTTGAATGTTCACTCTTCACAGTTTTCACGAGGGTATTTNAGATTTTTTTTTTTTAGATTTTTTGCTGTTCCCACAATGTTATTACGCACAATGTTATTACCCGCATTATCGTCAGAGCTACTGTCACTTTTACTGTCTGTGGCCACAATTCTTTGTTGTCCCCCATCACTGTTGCTGTCTGAATGAAAATTAATCCATTACTACACGTCTCACAAGGGAGGTCAGCTAGGTCATCGGAGGAGAATTTGTCCTTGATCCATTCTCCCCACTAGCTACTGTCTGATACACACAGCTTGAAGAAGGCAAAGCATTTTCCTTTATAGTCGGTTAAGTAAACAGCGAGGTCAAGTTACTGACTGCTAACTAAACATTCCAGAGTGTTATCACGCATCTGCAGGCAGTTGTGTGCAATGTAGGTGGCGCCAGAGCGAAGTATAGTGTTTTGCAACTTATCATGTTCTAAAAGCCTGTTAACACGCGAACGGTCCGCCATGTTTAAAGGTGAAAAACCTTTTAAAGGGTGCACAGTCCGCAAAGTGTTAACACCCTATCTTTCTTACAACTTTCAGATTTTAATTTACTATGAAGTAACATTATAAAGATCAAGTACCTGGCAAAACTGGAAGTTTGCTCCCGGACTTGCTCCCACAGTCAGCAGGAGCATAACAAGCTGTCAAGGCCTGCTCCATGCTGTCAATGGCTTCAACTTGTGGTAAACTTGGCCAGCAGCAAATCTGATTATGTGATAGGTCTAGCTGCTTTAGAGAGCTTGGATATGAAGTTATATGACTCATGCTGCGCAGACTGCAACAAAACAACAACTCTTATACTTCATGTAACTGTTGTCTGATTAGCACAGTTTTCTCTAATCCAAAAAATGTCAGTATCAGAAAGTTTAAAGACTGAAAGATACAGAATATTCAGTACTATAAACTGAATAAATTTTGAAGTTCTCACAGCAGTACTTATTCAGACTGTGGTCCTCTGATATGTGACATCATACTGTTTTCTGGATGGATGCCAATATTTTGGTGAAACATCTCACAATTCCTATTGGCCCAAATTAGGCTCTGATTCCACTTCTCCCATGGATCTTGGGGTGACAAACCTCCTCGAAACCTCACTATGTAAGGTAACTGCATCTTTCCCCAACTAGCTAATACTCTGAAGACTGATGCAGCACATTCCTCCAAAATGTTGGTATCCAACCACTACATGGTGTCACAACACAAAGGACCACTATGTGTACATTCACACTACCTACATCAACATTGCTAAACAAAGTAACCTTTTATTTCTTGGATCTAGGTCCAATGTGTGGGTGTTTCATATGTGGTTTTTTACTACTAGCTAAAACATTCTTATTTTGTTATTGCTGTCAAAAGAGTCACCATCATCACAGTTATTTGCACCCAAATTGGAATGACTGTCTGCAATCCATTCCTCATTAACTTCATTCTATATCTTTGCCAGCTGTTATAGTCTTCTATCTTAGAGAAGCTCAGCTTGGCTTCACTACAGTTTAGATATTTCTGCTCTTATGTCATCTAGATGGGAAATGCTGGAATTATGGGGCTGGCTAAAATTTCAAGAATTATATAAAGCTGACATTCATCAGGATGTATTATTGTGATTTATTTATTATTATTCTTCCACCTTAACAGATGAGACTCTCTGGCCTGTTCTCATTCAGAATTAATTATGAAATTATGAATCTCTTATACAGATGGTAGAACTCCTTGAATGGGTAATCAGCCCGATTACCTACAAAGGACAACACAAACACAGACATTCATGCCTCAAGTGGGATTCAAAACCACAAATTCAACGTTTGAGTGGATGAAGATATTTCATGCCTCAGACTGCACAAATCCTGTGACTGGCTAATTTATTTATGGCTTATTTAATGATGTTTCTACAGATAAGTTTATATAGTAATAAATGACAGGATGATTGGTAAATAAGAAATTGGAATTGATGTGGAAGGAAACAGTCATAACTTACTCTCAAGTATGATCCTGGCATTTGTCTGGAAGGGACTAAGCAAAACAACAAAGATTTCACAAAAGACAGTCGATCGGGGAGTTGAAATCGAACCTGTGACCTCATGTATTTGAACCAGGACTGCAAACTATTTAACTGTGATGTCTGAGTGCATTACTGTGCTGATGCATCTATGACAGCAACTTGTGTAAGATATAATAATGTGACAACAGTCCTCGATGTTATAACAACATAACACACCTGTTGTAGCTGAGGTTTAGCCTTGTGAGATTCACAGCAAGGCAAGGCAATGCTACCGGCACACTGGTGAATTGGTTGTGGGCAAGATTTAATGCTGATAGCTGTGAGCAATTATCCTCATTCTCATCATCATGGTGCATTATCTGCTCTGTCACTTCCACATTGCGGCTCCAGATATTATGATGTGTTATGTCCAGTTGTCTGCATTACAGGAACAAAGGATAAGCATACTTCACACTGCTCTTCAAATTTCCATATGCCAAATTACTGTTGCTGTTGCTAATGCCTCCCTATTTCAGCTTCCTGACTTCTGACAACCTTGAAAATGGTAAAAAAGTCTAGTTCTGAGGTCGGGGTGCTTATGATGTGGATTTAACTATTCCTAATAACAGGATAATGGACAAAAGAGGAGACCTAATGCTCAATGTGGGTTTCAAACCAAAAAAGAGGACAGGTATTCTTTACATTCAGAGTGTTTTACCTATGTTCAAGGTGAGAGAAAGAAATGGATGCTGAAAAATATGTACCGACTATGGCAGATCTCAAACCCAGGACCTTTGTCTTAAAAGTTCAATATCTTACCTGAAGACCACAAGGTCCCCATTATTAAAATATTACTTAACACACAGGACATTGCTGGCAGGAAGTTATGAAAAAATCAAAGCCACTAAGCTGTCATAAGTAGAAACTTCCACTTTCGTCCATATGAAGCCTTAGTTTAGCTTTTAATTTTTCTATGTATGAGGGAAGGAGGTGTAGGAGTAAATGCTTGAAATACGAACATCATAATTTTAATATCAAGGATAGGTTAATGTGTGTAGCTGATAATGCTTGGCAGTCCACAAGAATATGGGCGATGCTTACAAGAGGCAATCGAAGGAACATTAAATGCAGACAGTAAAGCAACCCAGCTGTATACACAAATGTGATAATTGTTTAAGCAATTTCTAATTCATAGACCTGTCTATCTGTAGTCTCCTGATATAAACATCATGTGCTATATTTTTTGGCACGTTAACAATGTCATGGGTTATTACGAGAGCAACGGCATATATTAGGTATTATCTAAGAATTTACCTGGAGAGAAGAACCACAAGAAACCTCTATTAGAACATGTAATCCAGTAGTGTCATAATTTTATATGACGGTACTCCCCCCCCTCCATTGCTTCCCTTCACCCCTTAACTTTGAGTGTATGTATATAACAAACAGCTTTTCAACTTTATACTTTTTAAAATAAATATATTTTAGGTTTATATAAATTAATATTGAACAAGATTTTACAAATGCCATTAACATTTTGAGAATTACAATCAATTCAATTTTACTATAAAATTTCACCACAATGCCCAATGCTCCCCCCCCCCAAACCAAACAGTTATGCTTCCTTCTCAGGCGTGCATGTCCTACACTTCAGAAACCACAAATGTAATCAAAGTCTCCAGTTCCTGGCTGTACCAAAAGTTTCAAAGATATGTGAATTAGTATATTAGTTATGAAATGCACAGCAGTAATAATAAAACTCCGAATTAAATTCATACTTTAATAATACTGTGACATGATGCCTGAAAGCCAGAGTAGTTCATTGCTAGGTAACAGCTTGGTAAACAGACTCCCTTGAAGCAATGCACACAACAATAGAAGAGCGATGTTTTCTGCAGTCAGTGCCACGCTTGTTGCAATGCAACATTGTGGTAAACACATCTCTGCAACAGTAAATCAACATGCGACAATACAAGAAGTGGTGTTTTCTGTGGGGGCAGCCCTGAGGCTATATAACGAGGATCTTACGCAGCTAGAATTAGACCTGAGTTGAGTTCCAGAGTCCAAATGAGAAGTTAACTGAGAGTTGAGATTTGCAAAGATAACTGAGAAGAGACTGAGAGTTTTGGAGTTGGTAGTTGGCAGAATAATTGTGAAGAAATGGTAAGAAAGGAATTAGGCTGTTCAAGGAACACTTCATAGATGCTGCAGTTACAGCGAGACTGTTATGAATCCATTGACAGGATACAACCAGTGAAGATTGACAATACATAGAGGGTCCTAGTGATTTGTAAAGTGTGTAGATAAGCAATAGCGCTGTATTACTTGTAGTTACGAGTTGAGTGTATAACATGTCAATAAATCCAATCCAACCTGTCTATAAGTCACAAACCCCTATACATGAAAATACAATAATATAACTTATAATTACATATACAGTTACATACAATTTTGGATGCCCAGTTATAGTCTAGGAAAGAAAGTTACATGTGGCATAAAGAAGTCAACCATTCTTCTTCTGAAAGTAAAATTATACTTACTGAACAGATTTCACTTTAACAAATGCTGCATGCAGTGTGTGTGCATCCAGCAAATTTTCTTCACTAGTGGAGTTGCCTTCGTTGTCAGATGCTGAAGAGATATCCATACTCCCACTAAATTCTAAAACTGTCTCCCCACTGCTATTGTGACAACTCTTATTAGTCTCAGTACATGGAACACTATTCACAGTATCTTGAGACTCCTGAGGCAAAAGAAAGATGATATACATCACTGTTTAAAGAACTGAACTGAAAACATCAGCTGCTCCTCATTTTATATATATATATATAGAATTGACATAGGTTAAGCTTTCACAGCAGTCAGTGCCCAACTCTGGTCTTCCAAATTGTGATACAGTATAGTATTGCATGAAGATACTAATGTTTCAGAGGAAAATGTTGTTTCCATCTTCTGGGTTGACATGATATGCTATTTCTTGACAGATATACCAAACTCACTTAATTAAATCTGCCCTTTTCACCCTGAATATGGAGACAGCATGTTCATCTGAAATACTTGTCTCTGCCTACAGTACCATATGGTGTCACAATCCAGAAGACCACAACCTTACCATATGGAACTGTTGAAAAGAAAGACAATAACTTCTATTTGGCTGAAATAATTTTATAATTTTGCTGTAAAGTTACAGTACAAGCTGAAAACAACAATCTGCATTCAGATTCAAGATTAGGCTGAGCAAAAAATTTACCAGTTGTCTATACTTCTCTCAGTCACTGGACTCACTTCAGGTGAATTTGCTGGAAGTTCCCTGAGGAGATTGAAAGCAGCGTTCAGTTCCTTTAACTTCGGAGACTTCCACATATTATAAGGCAGAGTCTGCAGTTTGTTATTGGATACATCAAGTGTCACAAGAGATGGCAGCATGAAGATTTCCTCACAGATCTGCTCCAGCCTGTTGTCCTACAGCATAAACATTCCATGCTAAAGAAGAATTACCTTGAACTCATGAATGTGAACCATTATTTCATATTGTTTCGTGTTGCCTATGTAATGCAACAAATAAATTCATGCAGGTCTCGGATTTGGCAAACATGTTTATTGAATGCTCACTTTTACCCTAGCGAGTACAATTGTTATCACTTTTAGTATCACAATTCTTGCTTCTGCTATAGTCAGATGCAAACTGAACTGTTCTCAGCAACTTCTAGAACTCAACTGTCAAAAACTGTCCAGTCCCTCTGAAGCTGGACTTCTATAACCTGGTCTCAGATGGAATATAATGCCTTTGGTCTCGCCCACTGTCATGCAACGAACCTTCTGTTGTCCTTTCATCTCAGGGGAAACGCGTTTGTTGCTTAAGGTATTCTTAGGCAATGGCCCACTGTTATTGCATTTCCATTGAAGTATGGCTTCCGGATTCCCAGCATGCAACAATATTCACACCCATGTTTTGAAAGTTACACTGAAAGTGTTTCACTGTTAAATGCATGCAGTAGAACATTTTGGTTGAATAAGGTTTAGTAAATGTTCTTGTAACTCGTATCATAGTGGAACCATTTCTCTCATACGATATCAAAGTACAATCATTTAGACAACATATAAAAAAGTCTTGTTGAAGCATCGATACTTCAAGGTGCAAAACAGAAACCAGAGTTTGTCTCATGGACAAGAGTGATGAGAAGTCTGATGACCTCCAAGTCTAAACCAACTAACACAGTGCAGCTTCATTTGTGATGCATGCTTGATAAATTTGAGTATGTCTGAAATTAGATCAAAAAAAGATTAAAATGGAACTGAGAAAAAAAGGAGCAAACTAAAACTGAAACAAGAATTTTCTGAAATGAACAGGTTAAAAACTGTACATGTTTTATTATTTGCAGTCTCAGGTTCCATTAATGGAGATATAACTGGTTTTGGATATAGATATTTCCCATCAGATATACATACAGAAATATTTAATTGCATGTAAATGTGTAGTTTAGAGTTTATATTTAATCAGTAAAACAATGATACCAGCAAATTTAACTGTAATTTATAAAATTTTACACTTCTTATTGTACCAGACACTACAAATTATATTTTCAACATTAAAAGGTTAATAAACTAATACATCATAATAATTTAATGAATCACCACTTTTATAAAATTATAAGGAAAGTAACTTTTAAAGATGCATACATGAATACTTTACAAAGGTTCATCAATTTCCACATAATAGACAAACATGAAGTTTATTAAAGGTGAAATCAGACTCAAAAATACCTTCTCAGCTTAATCTGAAATTGTACATGTTAAACCTGAGAGTATAAGCTGGCTTCAAAATAATAAATAGAGACATTTTAAAGTATAACAAAAGGAATAACTAACCAAACAGTTTCTTTGTGCATAAATCTGGCATACCTGAAGGTAGACTTCCTCCAATACTGGAGCAGCGTACCCCAGTCTCTCTGGAATGGCTGTCCCCCTACTAGTTTGCAATTTCCTTGCAGGTGAAACAGCAGCAGCATGGTCACCAGATGGAGGTAACTTCTCAATCTTATTCTGTGCTACATTCAAATACCTAGAGACATAAACAAATGGTTCAAGTAATTTCAGGCTTTAACAGCAGTTTGTTGCTGGAGATCCTTTGTGTCTCATCTTCGAGGTAATATGACTAACCAATGGTCCCTGCCAATACTTCTAGTACAGGCTCCTACAAATATGAAATTAACTGCCTAGTAATATAAGTGGAAAATTCAACATTAGCAATGTCATAGCCTGCCACCTCCAGTACCCACAACACATTGTGACATGACTATTGTCCATTACATGGGAATGGCTCAATAAACAAGCGAGCTGTCACTAGACAATGGCTTTCTCAGACATCAAACAACAGATGAGCTGCTGTTTGGGGTGGTGTTTTCTATGCACTCAAACCCGAGGCTATATAATGAGGATCAACAAAGACAAGCCAGTGAGCTGCCATCATGAGTTAGCTGCAAGACAGTCACCAGCCAGTAAGGACACGAGTACAGAAACTGAAGAATCTACATTGTTGAGAGCCACTAGGAGTAAATGACTAGGGAAGACAAAGACAATTTTATATGTGCTGCAGTACAGTGATTTGCAGAGTGAGGAGATCTGTGAAACATTTACAGTTACCTGTACTTATGGGTTAAAAGTGTTCAGGAAATCCAATGATAAATCCAAACCTCATATCTAGTCACTAATGCATGACAATATCTCCTGTTCAGTTTCATATGGGACCACTTTTGAAAAGACTTTCTCATCAGAGTTCTGTACATATTTTTCGTTTCACTTACCTGAATTAAATGAATAGCTATTATAATTTCCTACATTTCATTACCTAACAAAAATAGACAGCATACACAAATAATGGAGTTCCTCATTATGAAATATCCTAATTTCATCCTCCTTAGGTCAAAATGTTCTTCACAGCATTATGTTCCCAAATACTTGTAACTTAACGCTCTTTAATCAAAGTAAAAAAAAATTATAATCATACAAAACAATTTATTTTATTTTTGGTTTATCTACTGACATTGTCAGTAACTCATATTACATACCAATGAACAGTTGGGTGAGAGTGAATTATGAACTAGATACAATGTGAAATGAAGCAGTCATGGCTTAATTCAAGGTCCTATACTGGCATTTGCCAGAAGGGACTGAGGTAAATTAAAAAAATCCTCACCAAGAATAGTCAATTTATTGGAAAGAATTCAAACCAAGCACTTCCCAAATACAAGCCAGAAGCATAATGGCTTCAGACTATTTGGTCAGTTATAGTACTGTAAAAATTTCTTCAATGTCTTAAAACGCATAGCAGATGATAGCATTTTAAGAACTGTGTAATAACACAAGAAATTCCAGCATTTATTTTTCCCAAACTACTAAATTAAAAATGCCGTGTATCATTCCACACTCCACCACACCCTACATCTTGTTGTTTCCCCCTCCTTTTATACCCTAAGTTCCTCCCCTTCTACTCCCTTCACTTCCTGCCCTGTCCTGATCTCACTCATCTCTTCCAGCAGTGCAGCTCAGAAAGTGTTTTGGCAACAAATTTCTACACATTAATTTGACTTTAGAATTTGCTTTGCTGTTGAGCCACACTCCTTGACTCAGCTCTGGATTTCAGTTTGTATAATTATTATTATTTCCACTGGACTGCTGCCTGTATTACAACTGTTATTATTGTTATTAGTTTTATTACATTAATTTGTCCATTCATGGTACTGTTGTCACTTAACCTTTAAGCGCCAGACTTTTTAAATGGTGATAGGGTTCCCTGCCACTGGGCATTTAAATGCCCATTGCTGTTGAGTGTTAAATGTCCTTTGCTGTTTGGCATTTTAAATAATTTAGGCAATATTTAAAATATTATTCAACACAATTTTTATGATAAAAGAATTCAATTAACCTTGTTTTTATCAGCAATGAATATGTCACTTATTGTAACATAAGATATGAAAAGGTTTAGGTAAAAAAGTTACACTTTTTTTAATTTTGATGAGTATTGTATAAAAGAGTTTTCTGCTTCTTCAAATAGTGGTTCTGCATTATAAAATCATTCCTTCTTGCAACACTTGACATGCTTCAGCTGTCTCTGGTGTTGCAAAGTATCTGGAAGCACTAAAAACCTTGCTTTATTATTCCATTTGTAAGATTCACATTTTTGCTACATTGTTCAGTTATTCAAACCCATTGACTAGAGGGATAGAAAAGCGTAAGTATGGGAAGTCTAGAGGGACTAGAGAGAAAAGCCTTTGTTTTGTACATCAGTGCCAAGCCATTCCATTGCAGCTGCAAGAGAATAATGACCTTTCCATGGTCACAACCAAATGCTTGCATCATAGCTGATATACAAGGTGCATTCAGTTTTCTGTGAGCTCTTAGTGAACTCAAATATTATAGTTTCATTTCACCATATGGCGACAACGAAATGTCACTGGGAAGATGAAGAAATTGAAAGGCAGCTGAAGTGCCAGATATGTGATGTGNGATTTCTCTTGGAGTCTGGGGTTCGTGGACCTCAGGTTTCAGAGAGAGAGGCATTCCACCTCAAGGAGTCTGGACACAACTTTCGGCCAAGTCGGACACTAAATTTACCACTACGGCCCTTCCGTAGAGCAGTATAAGAAAAGTCCAAAGTAAATGTATTAATGAATTCAGTTGTATTTAGTGTGCTGAACGAGATTAAATGACCATTAAGTGCAACGGTTGTAGAGAGTGTGTGTGTGAAATTGTAGTGAAGGGTTCCTCCTGCCCTGTCCGAGCCAGACCCTTATAAGACCCTGGGATAGGAACTCAACTCTACCGACTACCAAAAAGAACCCAAAGAAGTGATAGGTGAAAGAGTGGCGCACAACGAAAAGGGCACAAAGGAAGTGAGCGGTTACACTAGAGAGAAAAGCCTTTGTTTTGTACATCAGTGCCAAGCCATTCCATTGCAGCTGCAAGAAAATAATGACCTTTCCATGGTCACAACCAAATGCTTGCATCATAGCTGATATACAAGGTGCATTCAGTTTTCTGTGAGCTCTTAGTGAACTCAAATATTATAGTTTCATTTCACCATATGGCGACAACGAAATGTCACTGGGAAGATGAAGAAATTGAAAGGCAGCTGAAGTGCCAGATATGTGATGTGGGACTGTGCATTCTCGGGTGCTTCAAGGAATACCATGCAAAGGCCCTACTCAGTTAGATGATGAGGAAGGGGGGTGATGCCTGTATATAAATTGAGATGATAACAAAAAAGGTGCGTACATAAAATTTTACTATATTTCAAAATAATTATTTAGAATTGTGCATGCACTTCTATTAGCAGTGTTTAAATGTCCAAAAGCATGAATATGTGAACTTTAGCCATTAAAACTGCACCTTTCATTGTACTGATGTGTGCACTTTGAACGTTAAAAGTTAACTTGCTTTTGAGCGCAATATTACTCACTATGACCTAAGCTGACTTCTGTGGTAGCCATTTCCTTGTGGCCCTGTTGTGGGGTGGAGTGACACCACTGTAATATTTTTATCCAACAAAGCTTTCCTTTCAAAACTGTTCTAAAAATGAATACCATCCTCCCTTGTTTTGATAAAATGTAATATAAACTTTCTACAACAAATATTTTTTGTATGCATAGCATGTTCACAGATTTTAAACACAACATTACCTGAGACTAGGGAGTTGGAATATGATAGGGGGAAGCCAGGTGAGAGAATTTTTTGACAGGTCTATTCTTGTAATCGCATACAGAACAATGTCTTGATTCCTAGGGTTCAACTTCAACTTGGGATTCACATTCAGAGCTGCATCTATCTGTAAAATAAACAAGATAACTGACAGAAGATTCCATGTGCAGTAATATAAAAGAACACAATTTCAAAACTGGACTATTTCCTCTAATACAAGCTCAAAAACTTTTAAAGAAGAGGCAATAAGCAATTAAAATTCATCCATACAACCATGGTCATAAAATATCTTTAGTATGAACCTCCAACAAGTACATCAGTTCAAAAAAGACAACCCAGAATTCTGGAAATATACAGTGTAACTTTTGCATAATGAAACGTTCCTGATGGCTTGTGGCATGACAGCTGTGGATACCATAGGTTCCAGTTTACCAGTACCTTCCTCATCCAGAACTTTGTGACTGTAAAGAATACTTGACCTCCCTGGTACTATACTGTGAATCATAGTCCTCACTAAACTTTACCAATCATTATTCTTACTCATTGCATTACTGTAAATAATACTGGGTGTTAGAGTGTGGGTGGGGGTAAACTGCATTGGTTATAGCACAGTTTCAGATATGTACTGCATGGGTGTTATGTTGCTGTTCCATGCAAAAATGTATAAAGCACATCTTAGAATCAGTGGAATGTAGTATTCACATCTGAGACAGAAAGATTAGTTGCTGCGATAATGGGCAGTCTATCAGCAAGTGTTATCCAGCCCTCTTCACTTCAGGTACCTTAAAAATTTATTTTTCCTTGTACTTTAATTAAATACATATAATATTTTATGTTACATTAATGGACTATTTTCCTTCATTTTCTTTTAATTTAGTATAGTATGTTTTCTTTGTACATGTGTCCACCAAATTACCTAACCCAACAAGTATCCACCTACCTACCAACATACCTTCCAACAGTAGAACCCTTATTTAAGGTTTATTTAGCGGCCTCCGCAGTCTAGAGGTAACGTTCCCACCTCATGACTCGTAGTACGCGGGTTCAAATACCCGGCGGAGGTCGTCAAATTTTTAAGGGCGGAAAAATTCAGGGAACAAGTCCTCCGGGAGGGACTTTAAGCCGTGGGTCCCATATCATAGCTTTACGGCACGTAAAAGAACCTCATACCTCCAAAGGAGGTCACTGAGCCAAAATTGCGGATGTTTCCCGCCCAACAGCAGTTACTAATACCTCCGGTAGATGGGGGAAGCATTATAGATACTTCTCAGCCAGTAGAGGCGGTCTCGCTGGCTGGGCGGGACTGATGGTAAGCACCAATACCCGTAGGATATAGAGGCTGGTAGAAATCATAGAGGGAAACACAATGGACCACTACAGGTATAAGTGCATGGGGAAACCCACCCTCTCTAATAACTAACTAACTAACTAAGGTTTATTTGTGGAACAGTAGATCTGAACACTAAAATTAGGAAAATCCTAAATAGAGGAAATTAGCATTGAGATTCGTAATTATGTATCATTGAAACTGGATATTTTATGAGGGAAAACTTTAAACAGGAGAACATCAAATGAGGGTTCTCTGTAAGTAACTAATTAAACCACTCATTCACACACACACTCACACACTCTGTCACTCAAATGACCAAAGTTCCCTCTATGAAGCTAAGAGTCACTAAGGTAATAATGAAAGTACTTGCTTTTTATGCAACTGAAAGTTCATTATAAAGTCCACAACAGCCTGTCACTGGACCCTATCCTGAATCAGATGTATTCAGTCCCAAACCCTTACTTTCTATAACATAAATTTTGGAATTAATCTCCCATTTATTCCTAAGTCTCCAAAGTGGTCTCTTGTTTTAAGGCTTTATAACGAAAACTCTGCATATCTGTGTCATCTATCCAACGCTTGCTACATACCCTGTCCCCCTCACCCTTCTTGATTTGAAGCTATATCCATAATCTGTTCTGTACATCTTACTTCATTCAGTCAGCTATTCTCTTGACACCAGTGCAGTTATTTATTCCTGATCTTCATTTTGTATGCTCTCAAAGGAACTGTAGTGTCGGTCATACATTCACACACATCCATATCACTTAAATCCGCAATGTTTCTACCTTTATATCTAGCCTCTTCACCTGTTCTGGGTTCAAATTGTTTATTCCTTACATCCGTGAAAAAGTAAATCTGAAACAGGCCACTACTTACCAACCACTGCTTGCGGACTTGAGACAGGTCACACTGTTGATTGTGCCAGTTGATCATGACTGCAGTATTGGGAAATAGCGAACTGTAAGTGAGACTGGTGTGGCCAAATTGGGGCATGACAGGCAAGCCTTCCTCTGTCATTGCTGCTTTATTCAGCCTATAGTCTGGATCAGGGTATGCCTGGCAAACAATATTTCAGCTATTTACCTCATTTCTTCCCGAACATAACTGTGCTCATATTTGTTAAAATAAACAGTCCTGTCCAAATGGAATCTGGGCTAAACAGAAACCTACTTTTATCAAAAAATTTCTGCAATCCCATGGATACAGAGTCAAACCCCAGAAAATACAAAATTTTAATACAGAAAAAGAAATAAAACAACAGCAATTTGATGGAAAATACTGTAGTTCAATATTTATTTTAATGTGTCAAAGACTATACAGTAAGTAGTTACTACAGGATTCTGACGATGGTGTATAACACACAGAGATATTGGGTTTTCGGACTTTATCCATCATCCTGGTTTTTAAGATAACTAATAAAAACATGACGTTTCAGAAACTGGATCTGTTTCCGTCCTCAGGTGAGGGAAAAACACCTATTCTGTTGGGTCCCTTAGAAAGAGCTAGCCTCAATCACTGGACCTGTTGATTGAGGCTAGCTGGAGAAAGGAGAAGGGAAGAGGGGATGGAAACAGACCCTCTTCCCAATAAAATGACTAAAGAGGCATAAGAGGGGGAGGAACCTAATACCATGAAATTCATGCAAATTAACTTATACCACAGCAAAGCAGCTATGGCAGTTCTACACCAGCAGCTCACTGAGAGAATGGCAGATGTGGCACTTATTCAGAAAAATTTGATTTATGATTTTCTCTGTTGTACCTGATAGTAATGTTAGGTCCTGTATTGATTTCAGGAACCATATTAATGTCCGGCCTTTGTTGGAGCTCTGTTCTAGGGACTCAACAACTGTGAGGATGACACACACATGTGGAGGAAGTTCTGAAGAGCTCATCATCACCCCAACACACCTTCCATATTGTAGCATGTAGACTGTTGCTAAGTAATTACTCTATACACGACACCCCTGCTAGGCAATGACGAGAGAATAAGCAAATGTACCTCAGCTGTTACTGAGTAATGGTTTCACAAACAAACAAACATGTTCCCACAGGATCAAGTGACTACAACAATGAGGAGCAGTGTTTTCTACCCACCCTAAAGATGGGGACTGACAAAATGATACCAAAGCATGTCTAAGACAAACCTTTCATGGTCAGACTCCCTGACAGAAGCAAATGGAAACAGGGGTGTCAACCCAAGAGGAAAGTGGAACTAATCTGGTACACAGATGGTTCCAAGACAAATAAAATCTCCAGTGCTTGGGTGTATGGTTGTGGTGCAAGGCAGAAGCATAGGTTCAGCCTTGGGAAATACAACAGAGTATTCCAGGCAGAAGTGTATGCCAACAAGGCATGTGCAGTAGAATATCTAGATAAGGACAATAAAAACAGAAGCATCTACATTCTATCAGACAGTCAAGCTGCAATTAAAGCACCTGATAATTACCAGATCAACTGAAAACTGGTCTTGGACTACCATCAATCCCTCATACAACTGGCCAAACATAACAGAATTCAACAGAGAAGGGTGCCAGTTCATGAAAGTATTATTGGTAATGAAACTACTGATCAACTGGCAAAATTAGGATCTGATTGTTCGTTTATTGGACTTGAACCAGCTTGTGGCATTTCAGCATGAATTTCCAAGAAGGCTGTCAGAGACTCGACAAACACAAACCATAAAAATTAATGGGTGTCCTTAACAGGACTCAAACAGCCAAAGGGATTTATATAAGGCCCCTCTGTCAGATGAGTCAAGGAACTGCTGAAACTAAACAGAAACAAGTTACATTGGATGACAGGACTACTTACAAGATATTGCTATCTGAAATAATACATCCTCAAAATGGGACTGACAGACAGTCCCATTTGCAAAAGGTGCCTAGGAAAAGACAAATCTGCTGCACCCATCAGAGTGTATGTGACTGCAAGGCTACAACTTACTTAAGATTCTTTCACCTGGGCCATTAATTTATGGATCCAGGTGACTATTAAGATGCACCTGTATGCAAAATCCTAAATTTCAAATGAAGTGTAGGATTACTGCAGGGTTGAAATAGAGGGATGCAGTGCAAGGGCTGTTCTAAGTCTACCACTCACACACCTTGATGGACAGCAGCTTTGCAATGAGGATGGCATCCTTGTGGCGAGCAGCTATACGGAGAGCTTTGCAGTCATCATCACGAGCTGAATGTCGTAGCAATAAGTCAGCCATACCAATGTCTCGGTTCTTGCAGGCTTCCACCAGCGCTGTTGAGACTGACGATGCTCCTGAGTCCTCTGGATCTGCCATTACCTGGAGCAATAAGGCACATCTGTTTTCACTGCTGACAATTTTACGACCAATAACTGACATATACATTTAATCAGTGCTGTTCTTCTAGAAATAAACAATGATATGTAAAAGGAGTGTATGAGATTCTGTGCACAAGTTTCCTGACATATATAAACCAACAAACATATACTGAAATAAGAATGTTATCCAGTATTCCCTGAATTTAGGGACTTTTATTTTTCAATTTTTGTGCCTTAAAGGAGAGGAACAGTCAGGATACCAGATCTTTTAAATACATATCTTGTTTTTTGATAGCTTTAATTAACAATGTTTTACAAACTGAACTGCATCAACTGGTGTTTTTATCTGTCTGCAGTTTATCTAATATTGCTGTCAGTACCTAAAGAGCATCAAATGATTGCATACTAGTCAACAATAAACTTGGAAGGACCTGGAAGGGTCTCACTTAGGAAACTATTCAGGAATTTGCCCAGAGGGACTGAGGGAATCTGTACTGGCCAAGATTTGAAACTCGCACAACTGAAAAAGAAGACAGAAGCATTACCACTTGGGTCACTTTGCTTGCTTCAGAGTAAAATGAGGAAAGATAGAATAATTGTAAATAATAGGTAGGAAATCATGCGCTTGGAAACAGTCACAGAATATTTTAAGAAATTATCCCAAGTTGAAAACAGTCACAGTATATTTTGAGATGCTATGCCAATATCTGTCAAGAGGTTATGAAAATCTAAGTCAAAGCAGCTTTCCCATGGCTGTGATTTAAACCAGAAACTGTATGTACAAGTATTTTCATTAGTTCCACTGAAATTATAGAGACCTCAGGAGACAATTCTGTGCCATGAGATGTATCAAATATGACATGGTAGCCTCCACTGAGTATGGGAAGGAATGATACAAAACACAAGAGAAGTGACTGAAAGGACACAGATGCTTGGAGGAAAGTCTGTTTCAAACATCACTGGTCCTAATTTTGACAAGTCTCTCTTTCTACAAGGAAGGAGTCAATACTCAAAGATAACAATGACAGGGAGGGATGCAATATTTAGTTTCTGGCAAAATATAAAAATTTAAAATACCGAAAAGATAATGAAAAAAATTCCTTACAGGCAGACATAATTCCTTAATTTTTACATGACATATTTTATGTTTTTACTGCATATGCATTTTACGGAAAATATGTCTGTATAATATACTGTCATGTAAAGAATATGCCATGGCTTCTGTTGGAAATTAATGTGGCACTACTTTCTCTCATCTATAACTGTTTACATGCTTTCACAATCATTTACAATTAGCCTCTTCACTTCTACGACTTGGTTCCTCAGCACTCTTTCATCGTAGACTGACTGAATGTGCCTGGCAAACTTCCTTATACACCATTCCACAAGAATTATGGCACTATAATGTCTTCATCAGCTCCTCCCCACAGGATGCTGCAAACGTAAGGGTAACAGTGCCTCCAGCAGCTGCCTGACTGTTGTACATGTTCGTAGTCTGGGACATATGTTTAGTGTGACATTATCTAGTATGTAGTATTTATGTGGCTCTGACACTACGAATTTCATTAATTTTTTATATCCTGTCATAATATCATTGCATTCTCCTGGAAAGACATGCTGCCACCTTACAGGCTCAACTGGAGTTCCACTACTATTGTTATGTAAAAATACCCTAATTTGCATAAGAGTAGGGCTACTGACAGAAGAGACTAGTGGCTCTCCACAGTGATAGGATTACTGCCACATTAGCATGCTTGCCTATCACCACAGCATGCAATATTACTTGCATGGCCCCAAGATAATTTCATCCACAAAGATACACACGAACACTGCAGTTTACTTACAGAGTCTGGCTGCCGACAAGAGATGTTAGGGTCTGCTCCACATTGGAGCAGGACTCCTGCCACATCAGCATGCCTACCCCTAACTGCAGATTGCAGCACCGTCTCACAGTTGTTGTTGCAGTACACATTCAGCTGCAATGGGCTCAGATAACACTCATTCTTCCCTGCTGTTCCTATTCCTCCTGGTCCCTGTCCCTCAACACCCGCACGACTCAGGTTTAAACGTGCCATGATGGAGATAATGCCATCCGAGATGCGTCGCCGTGTCGGACTTAGTATTTCACCTACATTCTTTTCGCGTTCTTCTTCATTCTGTTCCTGTTCTTTCACAGCCTGAAGATAAAAGCAGTATGAATATACACACCAAACAATGTAACACAGAATTCTTGAATCAGTGAACAGAAATGATCTATATAAGGGCAGCTGTAATTTTAAACTGTGACAAGATAACACTAAGGTTTTTTTATACTCAGCATATTTCTCAGGAGTGTCAAATATAAACTTGTAAGTGATGCTCATCAATTAAAATTTACCTTGATTCTTGTAGCCTTCACTCGGAATTTGAGCAGCAAATCTACCATTTTGTAATTTCCAAGGAAACTTGCAACATATAACACATTCTGACCAGTCACATCTTTCATATTTAAATCAAATGGCATCTCATATTCCCATTCTCCTGTTGGATCCCTGTTAAACACAGAACAACGATAAAGATAAAATGACACTATCCCTGTGCCTAATTAGACACTACCCCATGAATATGTATGGTGGAGTGAAGGTATTGGTCTACTGATAAAAGACTCCCTTATATTGATTGCATAGGAGGCTGGACGGACCCCTGAGCTGTTCTGGATGCTGTGGCAGAGAATGAAATCTCTAGCCTTGCCAGGAATCAAACCCCAGCCATCCAGCCCACAGTTTACAGATTACTTACCATGCTGACTGAGCTACTCTGGTGCTACAAAACTAACAGTAATACTAAAACAAATCATGAAAAATTATATAACAGCAAATTCTGTTTAGAAGCAAATATGCTCCATAAGGGAACAGTAATTAATTATATGCAATTAATTTTAAAATGAGGATTGTAACCAACAGTAATGCTTGGGGGGTAAAGCTCAGTATGGTGTACTTCCGATAAATACAGTGAAAGAGAATACTGCTTCCTTGGGTTGAAATATTAGGTTTATGCAAGTCACGCGAAAACATTCAGACCTCCATAACAAATTTTGTTCAAATTCATTGAGCAGTTTTAAAGATAGAGATAATGTCTCCCTGTCACATTTATTTATGAATTCTGCACAAAGAACTCACAAAAGTGGCATCATATAGCTCCATCTTGTAGATAAACAGACTCACCTGAACTTCTGCATTAAGTGAGGTGGGTAAGGACACTTCAGGAGCAGCTCCATCACACTGACATGACCATTGATGCTGCATGCATGTATTGGCAACCAGCGCTCCACTGTGTGCTGTTGTACCAGTTCAGGAAACCTCTGAAAATTTACAAATTATAATAACAAAAGCAGCTACAAACCCATTTCATTTTAATAAATAAGATAAAGGTACCACGTACATTAATTCACATTTAATAACATCTATAAATATATACAAGGATATTATTATATTTGTTTATATTTATTTTGAGACGAACTCCACTCCACAGATAATGAAGGGTCACTTAACATTATTAAAGAACACGAACACCAATACAACAGTGCCTAAACAAATATTTGTGTCACAACTGCTATAACAGTCAACTTTATATTTTACACAGGCTTCATAGTAACTGGCCTGAACCCAACCAACCCAACATTTTATTTATGTTTGCACCTTTATATGGCATTATTTATAACAAAGAATCAGGTACATACATTTTAACAATAGCAATAAAAACAACAACAATAATAACAACAACAACAACAGTAGTAATAGTAGTAATAATACTGTAACGTGTTTACGTTGCTGATCCCACTTCTGACACCAGTGTAACGTGTTTCTCGTTACTGAAGATGCCGTAGAGATCGTTAATTGGTTTATTTAACAATCTACAAGAAACGGCTACAATTAATTATCACACAGTTGCGGGGTTTCACACTTTATAACCCTAATCGCATTAATCTGTTAACACTGTTGCGGGGTTTCACGACTTATAACCCTATGCGCAAATCAGCTCGCTCTGGGTTCAGTAGTCCACACGTTGACAGTAGGGGAGCTATGTATCACTGTATCACACACTCCCAATTACACAATTACACACACGTCCGGATCTTCTTTCCGCGACGGCTGCTATACTCCAACTGTAGTCCACTGACTGGAGAAATGTTGATAACACACTCTCGTAGGCTTGCTCGGAACTATCTTCGGCGATGGCCACGTTATAACTTGGCGGCTGTCACAGTANTTCATTTTAATAAATAAGATAAAGGTACCACGTACATTAATTCACATTTAATAACATCTATAAATATATACAAGGATATTATTATATTTGTTTATATTTATTTTGAGACGAACTCCACTCCACAGATAATGAAGGGTCACTTAACATTATTAAAGAACACGAACACCAATACAACAGTGCCTAAACAAATATTTGTGTCACAACTGCTATAACAGTCAACTTTATATTTTACACAGGCTTCATAGTAACTGGCCTGAACCCAACCAACCCAACATTTTATTTATGTTTGCACCTTTATATGGCATTATTTATAACAAAGAATCAGGTACATACATTTTAACAATAGCAATAAAAACAACAACAATAATAACAACAACAACAACAGTAGTAATAGTAGTAATAATACTGTAACGTGTTTACGTTGCTGNGGCTTTGCGCAACATGTCACAATACTAATACTGACAACTGTGCGCAGCCAAAACATGCAATGAGAAAATAATAAATAACTGTACATTTTCAGTACAAGACTCTGAGACAGTTGGTATGACCATGAATGTGTGCATGTGCGCACACATATCCTACAGAAGACACAAGCAGGATACAACACTATGAGAAAAAAAAAGAAAGAAAGAAAGAAAGAAAGAAAAAAAAAGAAAGAAAGAAAGAAAGAAAAACCTACACACCTTCTTCATCTGATGCCACAGCAAAGTGACAATTTCACTATTCTTTTCTTTAGTTGTAGTTATATAATACCTTGTAACTACAACTTCAATCTCACAAACGTCAGTAAATTTTGTAAAAATGTTCCAGTCTGGAAATTAAAATGAATATCATAATGAACCTGCAACATCAGAAAAACAGATTCATAATATTAACCTGCTCACCTTGAGAAGTAACTCAACAATATCCTTCTTGCCATTGTAACAAGCAATATAAAGTGGAGAGTACTTGGTAACTGGATGTATCCTGCCATCTGCATTATGATCTAGCAGTACTTTCACTATTTCTTTCTGACCCATTTCACATGCCCTGCAAACGACACAACAAACTTTCAGCAGTATAATTTAAATAGAAGACAGAAGCCTGTGGATATATTTGCGATTAATAAAATTATGAGGAACAATTAAGAAACTAAAAATCTACCAATCAACAATTAACTCAAGAGAATTTTAACTCTTCTGCTCCCCTATCCAAGGTTGGTCATTTACTGGTGCTTTGTCCAGACCACCATATCCAACCGAGTCTAGACAAAAATACGTAGTGATAAAGGAAAAACTTCTTATTCAGAATGCACTCTGAGCTTTCAGTTTTTCCTTCTGCTATCAAACCATGCTAGCAGTTTACTTTCTGTAACTCCACAGATGCATACGCATCATTTACCACTCAATCTTTTACCATGAATTACTACTACCACAGTCAATAAGTTCGTGGAATGGCCACAAAGTGTCATACGGGAATTTACTGCCAATATGTTTCAGCAATGTTTTTGACAGCTATATCAACGTTGGCAGACTTGCATGGCGTCCAACGGTAACTATTTTGAGGGCCGATGTGGATCTGTGTAAGTGTATGTGAATACCTTGTAATATGAGGCGATAGAACCACATTCCACGAACTTAATGACTCTACCACATATAAATTACCAATGTACTGCAAAATGTTGATGGGCCGTCGAATAAGCTGGAAGCAAAGTTTCTTGGAGTGAAAGGGTTTAATGATTAACTTTCTATTAACAGAAACCTGAAGGTTCAATAATGCTACTGCTATTGGTTCTCCTATCAAAGAATTAGTCACCAGTTATAGGTTACAAAATACTGTTTTTCTTATAAAAAGTATTCAAGGGAAATAACCTCCTAACTGACTATCAATGAAGAACAAGAGCTTTCTTGGAAAGTCGGTAACTGCTCAGATGGTCAAAACATTTTGCACCTTTAAGGAACCCTCAAATTTCATTACCGTGCATACAAAAGAGATCATCCTGAGCCTGCCAAATATAATCATCATCAAACTCCACTCCTATTTTATGTTATCTGCCCATACATGCCAAGTATCCCAGGGAGATCTCTTCCCTTATAAGCTTCCGGACTAAAACTGTGTATTCATTTCTCTCCATCCCCATGTGTGCTACATGTCTTGTCACTGGCAACTTTCTTCATTTAATAATTCTAATAATATTTTGTGAAGAATACAAATTATTAAGCTTCTCATCACATTATTTTATACATCTTCTAGTTACTTTCTCATTCTTAAGGTATGACTGGAAGACCAAGTTTCACATAATCTTACATTCAGAAATACCAAATTATGAAAATTTGAGAAGTATGCTTATACAGGTTTGAGTGCACATATAGACCACTGCATACAAGACAGCTGAACTGTTTCGCTCACTGGGGGGTGGGGTCCAACTGGGTCCACTCGGCACGGCAGCCACTGATTGGCCTATTGTACCTGCCCCGGGTGATTATGATGATGGAGAATTTGGTGGAATGAAAATTGGCAGGGGAAACAGAAGTACTTGGAGAAAACCCGCCCCAGCACCACTTTGTCCACCACAAATCCCACTTAACCAGACCCCGGGATCGAACCCAGGCCACCACAGTGGGAAGCCAGCAACTAACCACTTGAGCTATGGTGTGGCCTCTACCAGCTGGACTGTTACTGAAAGAAGTGTAAATAAGAAAAATGAAGTTCAGTTATTTTTGTACTTTTTTCTCATGCAAAGTGTGAAATACTCACATGAATAAGAGGGTGTTGGAGCCACTGGGTGCCATGTTGACAACCAGTTCTGCCTCTGAACCCAACTGCTGCAACAAGCTCCTGAGGAGGGATACATCCCCTGCGGCACACGTATCTCGAAGTGACGCATGGCATCTTTGTCGTGCTGCCTCTTTTGCATCTGTAAACAGAAATTACATATATAAGTTATGACACGTGTGAAAAAAGAACAAATGCTGTATTCTACTGCCTGAATCTTGGCTGAATTCTAATACCTGACAGGATGATGACAACAATGATACTTTGTGAATGTGACTTAATCTGTGGAATAACAAGTGCATTCTTGATAATATTAATTCATCTATCGTGTTGACACTGATTCACAGATAAAAGAAATCAGTTTCTTAGCCTCAATCATTTCAACCATCTTGCATAGGGCAGAAATGAGCAATAAATATAAGGAACACATAAACTTTAGGGGAGCAATGGCTTTCTAATTTAGAAATAATATGTATTTGTTCAAATGTCTTTATTTCCCCCCCCCCTTCTTTTTGTTGCAGAAATAAGCACTACAAATGCCTATCATTCAGCATCACATATTTGCATGGGATACATGATTATTCAAATGTGCATCTTTCAATATGCATCGTATTAAAAATTCAAATAAATCCTGTACACCGTAGACTTACACTGTATGTCATGAAAACATTTTCTCTACAACGAACTGTTTTTGAGAAAAATGATTAAGTTTAGTCTAATTTTTAGGCAAAATAAGGGTTATACTGGATAGTTACAGACATTTCTAAATTGTCCTTGTAGCATTCAATGTAAATAATACCATATTTCACTGAAATGTGCTGTGTTCAATCAGGAAGAATTAAAACTTGTACACTGGAAGACTAACACTATCTGCCAATCATGCTTTCATTTTATGCTCTTTATTAAAAAAAAGAACATAAAGATCAAAGAGAGAGAAAGCATTAAACACAAATATTCATGAAGAGCACATATTATCTCTAGATATGCAGCAGCTACTTACTATCTATGTTCTTTTTCATCATGTACACACCAGTATACATAACTACTGCATACTGGAAATCTTGTCAAGTCATACATCTGCTAGTGGGCAATGTATCTTCTAATCTTGAGGTTAAAACAGGGTGCGAGATTGGCAGAAAACATGTTTTTAGTAAAAGCACACTGCTTAGTGTTATCATTTTGCTATTCCTACACACGTATTGTACAAATAGTAACATAAATAGTGAAGTTCACACAATGTAACAATATTATGTCAGTATGTACAAGTACTACATCTGCAAGTAAGTCATAGCCACACATACACTTTATAAAGAAGGCTGAATATGTAAGCTGTTAGCAGAAATCTAAAAGAACCTTACGAAGTAAATGCTGATAAGGGTACTGCGAGAACATGTATGTAAGAGCCACGTGTAACTTGTTTCAACTGTTGTGCCAGAATCCAGAGTTGGGGGAACAAAAACATTCAAACATTACAATATTTACAAAGAAGATAAGTCTCAGCTGTACACGTATACTATCTAATACAGAACCAAGCATACTGACACAGCCCATAGATATGAAACATACACACAGGGAAATGTTTATATGAGAACTTATTCTGTAGATGTAAAAGCAGATAATAAGGCTGGAAAGGTGTCAGTCGGGTTTGTGATGGCCCCGTATAATCCACAATTTATATGATGTTTGAACTAAACTTATCAATTTTCTCAAAAAGCAATCTGATGTATAAAGAGACTGTTCATGACTTATATACTACTTCTCATTAATCCATTGTGTTCTAGTATAGAGTCTTACTTGTTGGCACTCTGAAAGGCCCAATAGCTACACAAAATATATTTTTCAACCTATTCCAGTATTATTTTCCTTTTGAACGCCTATGTAGGATTCCAAAGCCATAAAGCATGTTACTTAAGCAAGGTCTCCATGGGTTAACATCTAAAACTTTTATTTAAGGTGTTCTTCAAACACTATTCAGCTCAGATGTTGGCACTGTATATAAAGGTATATAAATTCTCAGCATATCTCCATTCAGACGTTCTACAATTGATTTCTGTACATCATAATATGAGTTCTCTGGGAGGTGATGCCATGTAGTCTGATGGATGTTTACTCACGCTTTGAAGGAGTGCATTACCTCCTTCTTCAGGTTTAAAGAATAAGCCAAACATGCAACAAGCACAGGCTGACTTTGCCTGAAGAATCTTTGGCTCACCCATACGTTTCACCCTTCCCCATCACTCAACAACTGCTATTTCCAAACCAGGCGAAAGCTAAACTGCTTTACTGAATTTTGTCTACTTGGACAAAGACCGCCCTTGGATTTGTGGGGAAGAGTACCGGCTATCGGAGCTTCAAATAAAATAAACCAATGCCTGGAATTGTAGTATTCTGTATAGAGGATCTTTTGTTTGTTACCAGTCAAAGCAACATTTGAACTGTCGCAGCTAGCTCTGTTTGCAGTGTTGAATCAAGCGGTTACTTTGCTCAATACATTGTACCTGTACATCATGATCTTGTGAATATGATTCTTTTGTATTTCTTGTATCGTGGATTTTATTTAAGAAGTCAACGATTTCACACACAAAAAAAAATACACTCTGAACAATTACTACATCACAGCTCAACAGTTTACTGTGCTACAAGCGTTTGCTTTGAGCAAAACCAAAAAGCTGAAGTTGGATAAATAAAACACGGTATTTCATGGGGGCAGAGAAGTACTGTTTCGTTCTGAACAAAAGTAGCATAAGACGTGTGGTATGTAAAAAAAAAAGTGCAAGCATACCGAAGTAGTGTAACTTGAAAAAAATATTTTGAAACTAAAAATTCATATTTCAACAAAAATAATCTGAAATGTTAAAAAAAAGTTTTCTGATCGTGTGACAAAAGCTTTGTTGCACAAACTGCGGGAGAGTTTAGAAGTTCGTATGGTTTCACTAAAATCCATCAACTGATTCAAGTTACTAAAAGGGCGCGAACGCATGGACGATATCATAAATCTATATTTTCCGTTATAAAACACAGAAATTTCGTTAAATAACTGGTCTATAATGATAGTCGTCTTCTGGGTTTTGGCGCCGTGTATTCTTCGTTTTGGCCGACGTTTCGGAGGAACGTATCGCTTCCATCTTCAGAGCAGGTGAATGGCTTGTGAATGCAGAGAGCTACTGCCAAAACCCAGAAGACGACTTTCATCATAGTCATCGCCGTGAAAACCTCAAAACTTACAAACTGGTCTATAAGTTCAAAAAAAACTACCGTGTGGAAGCTTTAGCCCCTCGAGTGGTTTGTCTACTTGCCTGGGTCAACATCGTTCACGAAGTAACTGCAAGCTTCGAAGGCCGCTTCCGCATCGACGACAATGGAGTTCCTTCTAGCTTCTGCGGCGCCAAAGAAGATGCGCTGAAGGCGTTGCATTGCTACAGTACCATCACGAGGCAAACGGAACCATCCACAATCCTTTACTGATTCAGCTATCTAACTAACTGCTGTCTCACAATCTATCCGCTGAACTGAGACGTTCTTGCATTTTATGTCTTCCTTACGAAGCCAGTGTAGGTAATGGTCATTATGCGTTTCGACAACCGCAACGGACAAATACATGCCTTTTACGCTATTCGAGTCTTCAATCTCAGCGTCAGAACTATCGGTCAGATGCTGAATTCTTTTAAGATAAGTGAGCAGTTAACAGGTTATTCGAAACGAGGTCAAGAGATTAACTATGCTTACATTTCTTACAGAACACCAAAGTTCACTAGTTCATATCTGCTTCCTAACAAGTCGTTGCCAATTCACCACTCATACTGTCTTCCAGAAGAGCAGCAAGGATTCCCTCCTATGAAGGCAGTCAGAAATTTTTCTTACATAGCGCCATATTTCAAAATAATGTTTTTAGTATTAATGACTTGTAATTTCCTTTTATTTCTTTTCAGAATCCTCCGGAAGGGGAAGATGCCTGCCTTGTTCCTCCAGCCGATGCTCATGTCCTCATCGAATTCTGTTTAACAACACCAGCGTTCTGGCCGAGAAATCCAAACGCAGGGATCGGCTCGAAAAGGAAGGGAGAGTGATCGAACTCCACCATAACATCATGAACAACAACAACGGCGTCCATTTGAGTAGGTCTTGGAAGCTGCTTATAAGCCCACAGAGGGAAAGGACTAAGTTTCTGCCTAACGGCAAGAGAGCAACTTTCTCCTACGATGGGATATCAGGTAAAGATAAAGTTGTACCTGTGCTTAATTAATTAAGCACCACACCACGAAGACTTATAGGGGAGTCGAGGTATAAATCTACCATTCTTGACCTGGGCACTACTTGGAGGTGAGCTGTTAGCTTCAAGCTCCGGCCGCTTTGCCCAAGGTACCCACTGGATAGGAGACTAGGTGGGCCCTACAGCCAGTCTAGACAATGTGAAATAGAGAAATCCCTTTCCCCTAGCAGGAATCGCACCTCGGCCGTCGCTGTACCGACTGAGCTATCCATAAAAGTAAAAAAGAACTAAAGCTTTCCCTGACCTTAAGCACCATATCATGAAGACGTATGGAGAAGTAGAGGTATAGCTCAATATAATGGTAACCTCGGCACTATGAAGTGATCTGTCATATTCACGATCCGGTCACTTTATCCCCGGAGAGAGAAAAAACATAGTTCCCATCGGAAACTGACGTAGTGGATAAGAGAAAAATCTCTTGACTTTACCAGAAACTGAACCCCGATTCATCGGTGGTCAAGCATGGAGCCTAGACTCTATACTGACTCAGCTATCCTGGCTCTCACAGTTTAAGGGCACTTTCGGAGGTTCGTCTTTGATCCATGTGAATTCATATTCATAAAACTGTCATAAAAAACAGGCAATTTATTTTACAAAATCCCAGTTGAAAGAACGGAAGTTTTCGCTGGTATTCTAGTCCAATGTTTCTCAACCGCCGGGCCGCGGCCCGCTATCGAGTCCTGGCATCAATTATACCGGGCCATCGTCTTATAGAAAAAAAAATTATCAAGCCGCGGTCTAACAAAGATTAAGAACCACTGTTCTAGCCTAAATAATTGGTAGACAGGTTTTACTGTATACTGACGTTAAATGCTTCGAGAGAGCCCCCTCAAATACTTTTTAGTACCCGGTATCTGCACCCTTCTAAGGAG